CGCGCCTGCGCTACTTATTTTCTAAATTTTGCATTTATTCTATCATCACAACGTGACCATAAACGGTTTGGTTGACCGAATGATTAAATATTCTTTACTTTTGAAGGTGTTACTCTGTTCGGTTCATTGCTCCTTTTCTTCATATTCTCTTAAACAGGAATATGAACGAAGAATAGTAGAAGTAAGTACAGACCTACACATATAGCAAGACATATGTTTTTAGTGAGCAACCGCGTCAAAAATAATTTTGAGGTTCACTGCAGCAAAAGCAACTGAAACTTGCCTTTCATCGCCAGAACACGTCATTTCGATCGATTTTTACATTGTACCTTCCAATAAGTTTGACACATCCGAATATCAGTGAAAACATTTTGTCGCATCGAAGTATTGCGTATTTAAAGCTCAAAATCCACAGATTTGTTGTGAGGCGGCGGCGCTCGCAGAATCCGCTCTGGTCCCACGCGGCCAAAAATCCCAAAACGCGCGCTGTCGTCAACGTGGTTAAATAAATTAAAAGAATATACAATTTCGTCGCTGCATATAGTCGTGATGCAATGTGTGGGGTGCATGTCAGACATGGCGACTGTGCCACCCTCAGCGAAGCGACCGCATTTTCACGCTCGCAAAGTGCAATCGCGCAACCGCGACACCGCAATCGCGATTGCATGGGTGTGGTTCACTGAGGCTGGTGTCAGAGTCCGCGATCCGTCGCAGGTTTCGCTGATTTTCGCGATTTGCGCGATTCGGGTCACGGAAATCACAAGTGCCCGATCAATACTGCAAGGTGTTCTCCAATCCTGCCGCCACTTCTGCTTGATAGTGATGGCTGAATGACGACTGCTCATGATTCCACTTGTTTCATATTCAGTGTTTCAAATGTTCACACACTTGCAATTTTTGCGATCCGTCGCAGGTTTCGCGCAAATCGCGTGAATCGCGCAAATCGCGCAAATCGCGTGAAATCGCGCAAATCGCGAAAATCAGCGAAACCTGCGACGGATCGCGGACTCTGACACCAGCCTAAGACAGAAAGCGACTTTTCCGCGTTTCGCGCGCGACATTTTTCGCTGCGGGAACTCCATGTTCACTCAAGGAGCCGTATGCTGAATGTTGGGGATGGGACGGGGATGGGGAAAGGTTGGGGAGGTTCGTCGCAGGACCTACTTTGCAACGATCGCACCTTTGATTTTGCAGCTTTGTTTCCATTCTTGTACTGTTCACCACTGTGCAATCAGCGATTTCGCTGTCGCGGTTGCATTTTTGCACGCGAGAAAGTGGACTACGTCACTTGGCCATGGTGGTGGGGGGGGGTGATTGGCACAGTCGCCGAGTCTGACATTCGTCTGAAGCGCTTTTTGCAAAGCTATCGATAACGTGTATCACCATTGCCTCTGGCCAATGGACAGGCCTTCTTAGCAAGGGCTCCATCAGCTTCGTGTCTGCGCCCGCGGCTGGATCTGTAAACGCTCTTACGCTTTAGAACGCTATCAAGAAGCTCTAAAAACTGTCCAACTTAATCTTTTGAGAAACTAAGCATGTGTCCAAAAACATAGGCCGCGAGATTTCCCACACATTCCTTGTAAATACTGCATTTTGAAAACAATTCAGCATGGCAGGTCAGAGATATGCCTGGTAGCCGGGCAGCAACAAAGTTTAAAAACATTAGGGCCTTATCTCAGTACCCTGATTCAAATGGGCAAAAGCATAGGCTTGAAATATTCGCCAAGTACCTCTTTCAAACCATTCTTCTCATTTTTTTTCGTTTAGGAAGTACTGACCAGGAAGGTCTTTCAGGGCGTGACAAGCTTTTTGAAAACGGTCTTTTGCATGATATAGGGGCAGATGCGGGAACCACAGAACCATGTTCAATTTTTCCTGAACGGCCCTCTGAATACCAGAAAAGGAGGTCCCTAGTTCGATTCCTCGTGGTAACAAATTTTTGCATTTCGAGTTGACGTGCCAAAATTCGCGCAAAATGGAGTTAGAACCAACCAGAACAATCAGAACTCCATTTTGCGCGAATTTTGGAACGTCAACTCGAAATGCAAAAATTTGTCACCAAGAGGAATCGAACTAGGGACCCCCTTTTCTGGTATTCAGAGGGCCGTTCAGGAAAAATTAAACATGGTTCTGTGGTCCCCGCATCTGCCCCTATATCATGCAAAAGACCGTTTCAAAAAGCTCGTCACGCCCTGAAAGACCTTCCTGGTGAAGTGACCGAAGAGGCGTAAAATCACACGCAGCGAGAATATTTTGATAGAAGTTGATCTTATATTAGCCAGTCCCGATCAAAGCCATGCCTGGGTACAACCTCCACATACAACCCTATTATAAGAATACAGGACAAACCCAGACTGAAAGAACTGTGGCTGGCTGCCTATTGTCTCTTAGACTTTTTAACAGCCCTGGCCCAGACCCTAGAGCCGATTCCGTCTCTCTAAATCTTTTGCTGTTTCACAACGTGAGAGAATTTTGGAATGAATGTCGAGGTTAGGAGGCACTAGGATCGGGGCCCTCTTTGACACATTCGTGCACTTGAGGGAACACTGGCAGATGTCCGAGCTCTTAGCGACATGTCAGTGAAATGATGTACTACTTGCTGATCTAGCAGTCACCTGTTGTTTATTAGTATACAATTTCTACACAACTTAATAACATGCCGTATGGTCATATTATTTAGTTGGTAAATTTGTGTGAACATCTTGTCACATAAAACCAATATAATGACACATCCCTACCCAGTGCGAAGTCTCCCAAACACATGATATCGCAGAAAAGAGATGCAACTTTGAGAAAATTCCAGCACGAACTAACCTTTATTGTAACATTTCCCTTCGTTATTTTCCTCATGTTGAATCCAACGGTGGGAATCATGTCCTCAGTGAATTGTCCACTCTGAATGAATTGTATCGACGTTTGTTTCAGTAATTTTCGAAGACTCATTCTTCTCAAAAAAAAAAAACCCTACTATAGTGCGTATTTCAAAAGTATAAAGGGCAGCACACACAAATGGAGTATCATGACAATTATACCATACTTCTTGACTAAAGAACCATCAGTAAACCTCTATGAATGTAGCTGTACAGGATTAATGGCTTATCACCCATTTTATCAAATTCAGCATGCACTGAAACCACATTCCACTTCATTTCAGAAAGCAATTTAAACTACAAACATTTTCCATTAGAAAAACTCAAAACGCCCCTCCTTCATAGCACGAAGGCTTCCTGGGCAAGGGGAGTTTGGCGTCAAATTTCATCATCTTTCCGGTCTATTTTGCGATTCTTTGACCATGCTTACAAGGGAAGTCGTTCAAGGTGTGCCAAGCTTTTTCAAAATGGTTTCTTGCATGACATTGGGGCACATGTGGAACCACAGAAGCATGGTTCATTTTTCCTGAAACGGCCCTCTGAATACCAGAAAAGGGGTCCCTAGTTCGATTCCTCGTGGTGACAAATTTTTTGCATTTCGAGTTGACGTTTCAAAATTCGCGCAAAATGGAGTTAGCATGAATAATTAGTACCATATTCATGATTAGGAACCGTCAGTAACCCTTACAAATAGACTTTGATTAAAAACTGGTGAAAAGGCACCAAACGGCCCACTGTGGGGCTGTCACAACTATTTTCCACCAGTTTTTAATCAAAGTCTATTTGTAAGGGTTACTGACGGTCCTAATCATGAATATGGTACTAATTATTCATGCTAACTCCATTTTGCGCGAATTTTGGAACGTCAACTCGAAATGCAAAAATTTGTCACCACGAGGAATCGAACTAGGGACCTCCTTTTTGGTATTCAGAGGGCCGTTCAGGAAAAACGGAACCATGGTTCTGTGGTTCCTGCATGTGCCCCTATATCATGCAAGAACCGTTTTGAAAAAGCTTGACACACCCTGAACGACCTCCCTTGTTTGTAGAAACACATCACACTTATCGAAGATTGAACATGCTTTCTACCTGTGGTCAAATGATCCACAGCCGAGCGTGGTCAATCTGTTGGCTTATTGACAATTTTATCCAACTTTCATGGGAAAAAAGCGGCATCTATTGGAGCCTCCAAGTACGCCATATCCAGCGAACGCCTTCCAGTTCTACCACGCCAGTCAACCAGAGCCATGAGCTTTTGCTTCCCGCATCAGAATTACCACGGAGAACTCCAACTGAACTACAAGTCTTGATGCCAAAATTCATGATGGATTCCCATTGACTGGGTAAGCATTACGAAATAGCTCCACTCGAATTAGACGGGAGGAACATGAGAACGGACTGGGATTGAGCAAGTGGTTCTACAAGTTAGAAGGCACCTTCATTATCGCAACTGGTTAGGGGTCTTTTGAGGTTGGGTTATCTTCTCCTAAAAATAAGTTTTATTAAGGCGTGCCGGATGGAGCTGATGGAGGGACCTGAGGAAAGATCCACTGGTCCCATCCAGGGGAATTTCGGCGGCGGATCTCAGATGCTCCGGCCTACTTGTGCAACAGTGCTGTACTCTCCCTAGCTCGTGCATCGTGGAGAGTAGAGTCGAAGCGACGAGGAGGGTGTTTTTGCTGATCATCTACTGTCGCTTTTAAGATGAGATGACGCGTTAGTAGAATACCATCTTCATACTAGTCAACGCCGCCATACACAGCAGCTGATCCGCTAAACAATGCTATGCGTCAGCGGAATCAATGATGATTGGGCTGCATGCATTTCGGATCTGAATCCTATAAGAATATTTTAGGAACTTATTGCACAAAGCAGATCATACGCTGGTGACAACCAAAGAATTTTGTGAAGACCTCAGGTGTGCTATCGAGACGTCGCGGCCTCTGTACAAAACTTGAATCGTCCAGGCAGGTTGAGGAGGTAGTATGCCTTCACTAAGCAATCCCCACAGAATCGTAAATGAGTTGTAAGAAGAAGAAATTTCACTTTCGAAGTCCTCTGTTTAAAACCTTTTTACACTTTAGGAGCAGGAGACATTTTCAACTTTTTTTTATAAGAATGTTTTGAGATGATATTGCTTTCGAAAAAGGAGACTGCATTTCGGAGCATGCTGGATTCAACAAAATAGGTGAAGTCTTCACCCTAACTTGGAACAGTAGGTTTTGATGCCTTTACACTTTCCGCACCTATTTGCAAAGCGCTATGTCTCTGTGTGTGTGTCGGGCCTGTAATAAAATTCGATATTTTCTGAGAAATCACAAGGAGATGTCTGGTCAAGTTTCGGATGGATGGGGCACATGTCAAAAAGTTCAAAACACCAATCATCCGGGCGGAGCTCCACCCACCCCCGAGATGGGCGGTGAAGACGACATGTTTCGAGTTAGGTTCCAGATTAGCTGGCGACCAAAAAAATGGGTAAATATGTGCACTGAGTTGCTAAGTCGAAATAGGGGGACCAGCTCACAGCGGACAAATCGCTATCTAAATGGGCCATGCTTAATGAAAACTTCACAATTCCGTAAGGAGAAAACCTATGGTGCGGAAAAAAGTGTATAAAGACTAAAGGGCCGCCAGCACGCCTAAAAGCTCACCCACAGTAGGAGGAGCGCTCTCCCTAACCAGGAAGTATTTCCCACAAAACGTCATAGTACTTCTACGAAGAAGACCCAGAAACCGAAAAAAGAAGAGGATGGAGGTTGGCGAAGCTAGAGGTCAAATGCTATCGGTAAATGGAGCGTATGTGAAGGTGGGTGGGTTTGCCATCAAGCTTATAAAATAGTCCAGAGAAGTTCGAGAAAGCGGGGAAAACGTTGATGTAGGATGTGAGGGAGAGCAGTTCATGTGCCAATAGTGGGTATGGAGCGGAGTCAAAATTGGAAGTCCCAGGATGGTGTAGATGTTTTCAAGAGGCCATGAGAAAGGCGAATGCAGACTTGCGTACAAAGAGCACTCAAAGTCTATGGTGAGCTGAATATGCACAAAGTAAGCAGGGCTGAAGCCAAAAATTCAAGCTGCCCTCTTTATGGTTGACTTTTCTGGGAAGACCCAAAATGGTATGCACATACTAGAGCACATACTCACCCTTACTGCAGCATAATGAAGTGAATATTAGCGAGAAAAAATTCCACCTTATAGAATATTCACAGGTAATTCCCCGCTCCCCCGATTATATCTTGTCAAAATTTTCAAAACAGAGTTTTTTTAACCACTGTAGCATGCAATAACTATGATAATTAAGAAAGATGCTAAGTGTTCGGATATTTTGCATGGTCTTAATGCATCCCGATGTGCGTCGTTTAGGCTCCCGCTACAATATTTTTTTCTCAAAGTCTATGAGACGATTCTCTGGCAGGACGCATAGTCGGTCGGACGACAGCTACGACAGCAAGTGTCGCATAAACCGCGGTTGCATGAAGGCGACGCGGTCACCCAATGCTAACCCAGACAACACGTGACTGCGCGTGATCGTATTTCGAAAGTCCCACTGTAGTGTGTGAATAGTAGCTGCGTATTGATCTACGACACTTACCGCGTCGCCTTCCATTTGCAACCGCGGTTTATGCGACACTTGCGGTCGTTGCTGTCGTCCGACAGCAGCGGTCGTAAGTGTCGCAGGTGTCGCAGATCGATACGCACCCAATGCTGTGCGACACTTGCAGTCGTTGCTGTCGTCCGACCGACTATGCGTCCGGCCTCTGCACTCCGGCATGAAGCGGAAGCGCGCAGCGGTAATGGTCCAGGCAAATTTCGTGGGGTCGACCACACAGCAATTTCTGCTCCTTCAGCAATAGAAGTGAGAAAACTTTCAATTTCGTTCCTTATCCGTTTTCCTGCGTTCCTTGCATGAAAAGGTTGGAAGCACTTCCAGTCTTTTCGTGCAAGGAACGCAGGAAAACGGAGAAGGAATTATGTTCAAGATCAAGATTATGTTACGCAGGATTATTTTCAAGATCATATTGCTTTTGACTATCTACAGTGCTGGTAGCACGCGATTTCGTGCGCACAGAAGTGGTTTTCGTTCAGAGGCGCAAGCTCAGCCAAAACCGGAGTTTTACCCATTTTTGGAAAGGAAGTGGAAACCTTTCTCCATCTATCTATCTATCAGCTAGCTGTCTTAAATTTACTTGCGTACAGAAGAAGTAAATACCAAGACTTACCAATCGAACTCCCAGAACTCTCGCAATCGCGACTATTACCAACTAGCCTCACATACCAACAAACAGCTTCCTCTCCCTCACCTAATTCAGCGCTTTACTGCAATAGTATACAAGGCAATATGGCGAAATTTTTCATACTAAGTTCATTTTTCATACAAAGAAACACCTCAGATTTTGAAAGTATATTTGAGCTCGAACACACAAATGGGTATACGCGGTATCAAAAAAATCCGCATCGATCCATTGACCCTTTGTTGAATCGCAGATGTCATTTCACCCAGGTGAGAATCCAACTTGAAACCCAAAAAAAAATTAATTCGCATTTCCAGAACTTGACTAACGAGGCGAAGCTCTGCTAGTCAATGAGTAAGGGAGTGAGTCATCCGCATCTTTTTTGGGTGATCATGCAGTTTACTGTCCGTGTAAAAGATGTTCATTAACAACATGAGAACTAACCGCAATGACATTCACGAATGTTGTTTTTCCAGAATTTTGTAATCCAACCAACGTCAACTCCATCTCTTCCTTCCAAAACAAACTCCGGAACCATTCTAACACCCGATTTATCATTGCAAACATTCTGGATGGATGAAGACGGCCAAATCGACCAAGCCCAACTGAAACAAACAACTCGAAACTATTCAAATGTTAGCGAACTCTCAACAAATTCACGTTTAGATTCACAAGAGAATACGAAACAGTGGTTACCAAATCTAGCGACAAAGGCGTAACGAGTTAACTATAATCGCTGCCAGAAGCTATTACTATTTCAAGAAGCATTTCCAGTTGGCTAGGAAAGTGCAATGGTTTGTGTTGCTCTATGGAATTCCTGCAGGTTACGAAATTGGTTGTTCAACGCCACAAAATAAAAGTAACACATCGAATTAAAAGGCAAAGGATGGAAGCCTGAAAGAAGGAAGAGAACACACATGCTGATGCTGCTCCGCATAATTGCTGAGAAACTTTCACTTTTTCTGATGACTGAACAGTTCAAAAGAGAGCGCCAATGAAATCATAAACTATTTCAAACGTGTGCTCGAAGTTCCTCAGATATTTTGGAAAAAACATGTGATTTGGAGCGAGGAATAACAGCAAAATGAAGACCAGGAATGCAGCGATGGTCGATAACACTAACATAGCACTTTGATTCTATGTTCTTCGATATATTTTGACACTGATTCGCCACGGGTCGCATGGCAGGAAAGGTTTCAATAATTGCCGACATTATGCAACAATCAATAAATATACCACGCACATTTTCATCTCACAGAGCCCACCAAATCAAATCATGAACAGAATGCTCAGAATATCCGGTAGTATGCGAGAAGAATTCAAGTACTTGACTGTTTTGAATTTCCGATGAATGCACAAAAAAACGGCTTCATAAACGCAACGGTAAACACTTCAAAAGCAATTTGTCATATCTAAAAGCGATATGCAAGAATTTAAAGGACAATCATCAAGAAATTCGATTGAATACTGTGCGTCCCGCCACGATTACGTGTCTTCGATGCATTTAATGAAGCTATTTTGAGACCTTTTTCACGCAAGGCGACGTCCTCCCGTATGAGTGTTCAGCGACAGCTGCGTGAGGACTGGGATAATAGGGAGTACGAGCAGGTATGATTTACAAATTTCAATCCGAGAGAGAAGAACATGATCTTTTTGCAGATCATCGCAGACAACGTTAAGAACATCGCCAATTTCCTGTCCAGTTTTGGTTTGTTTTTCTTGTTACTTTCAGGGATGCATTCTTAGAAGTGAAGGTGTTCAGGCCCTCTTTACACGTTGTTGATGATTACTTTCAGAGCTGTCCTGCAGAAGCAAGCTTGCCTCGCTAAGTGATAAGCTCAACCTTCTCGAGAAAAAGGTTGAATTCCTAGAAGCAAGGGTTCGTAAGTTCTCATTGTTGTTCACAAAAACTTCACGTGTGTACACACAAGTCGTTTTGCCCGTTTTTAACACGTTGACGGCAGCATGACGCGCATGCGCGTCAGAATTTCACCCGATTCTGGCTCGTTTTTTCGATTTATTTGGCATTTTTCATATTTCAAAACTGTGTGCATGCATTATCTTATCCGAAAAACTGTGCATCAATTACCAGTAGTGGAATTATTGAAGAAGTTATGACGATTGTGAAAAAATAAACAAAAAGTTGCCGAGGTACACGCATAAGGGGCTGTCGTCAACGTGTTAAAGCGCAGCATTTTTGTGGCGATAAACGATTGCTATTCCATCTTTTCGCAAGACCGTAGGAGTTGTAATCTTCTCTTATCTTCAAAAGTGAATTTATGAAAGGATCCGCATCTTACCGGTGTCTAGATAACCAGAGGAGACACACTGACATAAAATGTCGACCGCCGGGAAGATCATTCGAGGTGGTGCAAATGCTGTACGCCAAGTGGCACCAGTACAATCAGTTAGCAAAGATCAAGCTCGTCGTGCTGTGCTACAGGTTTACAAGGATCTGTGAGTTGCACACCTTCATCGATAGTTCTTAGAGAATCTGCGGTCAGCCCTATTATCCAGGAGTTGTCACATTGACAAATACTGCATCATTTCTCTCACGGGTAACATACATGCGACCCATGGTTGTCCTGCAGATAGAAGCATTAGACTGATTCCGCAAGGCTCGGTCCACTCATTTAGAGCAAATTGACTCCGTTTGAAATGGATTCACAAAAGACTTTCTTTAGGCAACGCATAACGCCAACATTTTGGTGGGATTTTGGAATGGTAGACATGCCACTAGGTGTTTTTCGCTCCGTTTTGAAACAACAATTCGTGAAGAATGCTCATATCGACGACATTCGTATTATCGATCGGCTTGTCGGTGAAACAAGACAGGTGAGTTGCTACTCTAATCTTCGGTTTTTAGTGTCTATGCCATGAACTTGGACTAGATTGTAAAATGACCGATTATGGGATCTGTAACAACATCGGGTTGCTCAAAAAGTTTCGTCTACAAGATCTTGTTAACAATATTTACTTCTCTCTCCGTGAGAATTGTGCTAATTAATACTATAGCCGCTTGAATGTTGTTGGCCTCCCCCAACTGTTGGTCGGCTCTTCGATGTCGATTCTCCAGAAATCTAAGCAGAGGGTCGAAGAAGTAGAAAAACGCCACACTGAAGTCCACCTCTCGTTAAAACGTCTCTGACGCTGAAATTCAAGTAGGCCATAGGGTGTACGGAAAACCACTTAGGCTGGTGTCAGAGTCCGCGATCCGTCGCAGGTTTCGCTGATTTCAGCGATTTTCGCGATTTGCGCGATTTGCGCGAAACCTGCGATGGATCACAGGAGTTGGAAGTGCCCGATGAATACTGCGAGGTGTTGTTTAATCCTGCTGCGAATTCTGCTTGACAGTAAAGATTGAAAGACGACTGTTCGTGATTCTACTTGTTTCATGTTCAATGTCTATCAGTTCATTGAAATGCTCATGATTCGTTCCTATTCTATCCTATAATTCTAGATTCTATAATATCAAACAAGTGGAATCATGAGGGCAGTCGTCATTCAGCCATCACTATCAAGCAGAAGTGGCGGCGGGATTGGAGAACACCTTGCAGTATTGATGGGGCACTTGTGATTTCCGTGACCCGTCGCGCAAATCGCGCAAATCGCGAAAATCGCTAAAATCAGCGAAACCTGCGACGGATCGCGGACTCTGACACCAGCCTTAGCAACTAGATCGCCAACTTGTGCTGAATCACCAAAGGGTTTTCGTGAAGCAGGATTTCACGTTTCGAACATTCTGCCTGGATTGCCATAAACGTTTCTGCGAGCTGTTGTGTCTAGATTGTGGCTATAATCGCGATGCTCTAGGTAGCAATTCGCAGTAGGCTGCAGCTGGCCTTCCCAACAGCACCGTGCCATAGTCCTGCGTTTTCGGATCCCTCAACTACTGTTCTCTTCGCGCTAGCCAGAAGGCGCAGTTCGCAGCCAGAAGGAGCAGATGATACAGCTCCCGTAGCTTCGTTGAAAAATGATCCCTTCAATGCGCGCAAAACAGGAGGGCTTGGCTGACGTTGCAGCTGTTTTTGGCAACGTTAATCAGACAGTGAGAACTTAACGGGCAAACAGTCTGCGATATTCAATATTATAATGCTGGCGAAAGATAGTTGCATTACCGCAATCAAGCGCGTCACTCAGTTTTAGAATAGTAGCTTAGAGATTTTTCTACATGCAAAGGCGCAGTGATTTGGTGTCGTCAAGGGTCGGCCGGCCGGTGCGCTTTCTATCATTAAGGGGTCGTCTCTTCTGCTCGGAAACGGCGAAATGTTTTCTGCGACAGTGAGGTTCCGTTGTACCACCAATTTCAGCCGTTCTCTAGACCGTGTCATACGTACATTCACAGAGGATGTACGAGCATAGAGACTGATTCTATTGTACGTTTTTGCCAAGTCAATTACGCAGGCGGCTCTATATATCTTTTAATGGAAGTTTGAGAAACATAGTGAGGAATGTAGCATATGCTCAATCTTATTTCATCTGTAGAAGATTTTATCGTCGTGAAATTTCGTAGGCAGAACTTCCTAAGCAAGTAAAATTGCAATTCTAAAGTGTGCACAGGGTGTTTTTCTTATTACCAGGTTGATCTTGCAATTCATTCGTGCTCTCCTTCATGTGCAGTTAATGAATGTGCCTGTGTTTCTCTGGTATTTGCTGACAGCCGGCTTCATAGAAAATTTGTTTACGCATCTTTTGGTTCCGCATTAGTCATGTCATGTCCTTGTCCTCGAATCCTATTTTTTTTTGCTAACTTTCAAGATGTGTCCCGGGATGAGGCTGTGGTTCAGGAATTAATAGTCGATATGCAGCGAGAATTTTTTGCGTTGATGCCGCAATTTTCAAGAATAAGTGGCAGAAGTATATCAAATCAGATAATGGAATAAATGTTGGGCAAATCTGCCTCAAATCTGTTGGAAATTCTCCCCTAACCGGGAATGTGGTTGAAAACGGTGAACGCTTGTTCAAAACGGCTCTTGCATGTTATAAATACGTACATGTAACATGGAAATGAGGGTAATTTTTTTTGTCGGCTATGGTATTGCCAAAAATCAAGCGGAAGAATCCTCACAAGAAGTGAACTTTTAGCAATTATGGTTCATTGTACGCATTTGTATTCTTGAGTAGTGATATTGAAGGAATTTTACAGGGAAAAGGTTGAGACATGTGTTAGGACAAGAAAATTGAAATCATGGAAACGCGAAAATTTGTCATTACAGGGAATCAGCACAAACCGTTATTTAAACTCATTCTAACGGCCACTCAGAAAAAAAAACCTGTCTTTTGTGCTCCATGCACATTCTCATGAAATACAAACATCCAATTTGAGGAGGCGCTCCACGACCTGGACTAGAAGCCTGTCGAAAAAATCTGCGTTTTCATTTTTCGGATCTATTTTTCTTTACCACAGTCAGCAATTTACAAGTATATGCCCCACCGTTACCATTAACCATTACGTTAAAGGCAACTTGTGGATGTCGTTTGTTAAGAAATCCTGAAATTTGAAGCGCAAAATGTGACGAAGTTCGTTTTGACTGGGTCTTGACAGCGAATAACCTTTCTTTCAGTTGTTTATACAGTAACTGGGGCTGATAGTAGTCTGCTGGTGCCAGGTCTGCTCAACACATAAGGCGCCCCAAGTCGTCTCATAAGAAGCTTGTAGACTTGCGGTCTTCTTCGTTGTGGTGGATGACGTTGCCGAGACGATGTAAACTTTGCCATGTTGTCCGAACCAAGTGATGGCGAGCCCATCCCACTTGCCTAAATTGTTCGCGATAGCAGTGAAGCCGATGGTAACACCTCACAGGGAACGAAACCTTTGCAGTCACCATTTCTAAGGCCGTATCCTAATCCTAGGTAGGCTAAGGAAGTGAAAAATCCCTTTAAATCCATTTGTGTTCAACGGTATGCTTTCGTTACCTTCAGCACATGTTTCCTTTTACACACAAATACGATATAAATAGACTAATCCTTAAGCCAATCCCTTTCTACAAGAGAGAGAAAACTTGAGGATTTTAGTCCCCCTTTCCCTATGGGAAGGATAGGATACGGCCTCTGAAGGTTGTCTCCCACACTACTGTAATCGTCACTGGAGTCCTTGTTCTATGCGTACAAGCCGGTAATGCCTCCGTGTGTGGTCTATGTGACGAACCCCCTATCAATTCCAATAATGATGTCCGGTCAAACGAGAGACAGGCGGAATCAATATTTCACGCAAGTTCCTCTTCAAAGCTGGTACCGTCATTGGGCATGTGTGAAATACTGCCAGTTCCCGTGCATTGCACTGTAACTCTTTCCAATCGACTTCGGAATACATCCATTACTCAAAGTAACACTGCGACCGGAGGGCGGAAGTGGTGTAGTGGCAAGTGGCGCGCTTACCACGCGAGCGGTCCGGGATCAAATCCTGGGTCGTGAGTCGCCCGGGCCAACCAAGCCTTCCATCCCTCCGGGGTCGGTTAATTGGTACCAGACTTGTCTGGGAGGATAAAAACACTGACTTGTACATCGGCTGGCCCCCGCAAGTCATTGTATAGGCCACATCGCATTCAAACGAATGTACAAATGGAAGTAGAATGCGTGCCGCATCCCAAAAAGGGATTGATCAACGGCAAATGCTTTATCCTTTTTATTAACACTGCGACAGTGTGTTCTTTCTCAAGCATCGGATAACGATAACCAATTCGCCATGTCGTGGAGGACATTCTTAAGGTTCACCGCAACACTCAGGTTTCTTGCCGCGTCGCTTCATCGACGGACATTCTGAGGTTGTATGTAAAAATAGAAGCAGTCGAAGATGCTTCTAGTGAAAGATGATTTTTCCCGTCATAATCACTGCGATATGCTACATCAGAAATGTCCTGGAGAGAGCATTGATCATCGTTTCATACGTTTCGCAGTGAGTTTCAAAACGATTCCCAAAGATTTCGTAACACGAAGAAGCAAATGCGCAGAGACTATCGACAAACTAATATATACTGATTAGACACTTTGCTGACTTTACCGAGTATTCTCCGCATTCATAGCACCACATTGTCTTCCCAGGGCAATGGCAGCTTTTTTAGAAGACGCATAGTCCTTGATTTAGATCCCGGGTCAACTTCGCCCCTGGTCGACTTCCTTTCATTTGCCACTGTAAGATATTGGCGAATTGTGAGCATGATAATTATGTTGCTGATATTTCATCTCAAAGGTTCTGCTACCATTAAAGCTAGGGATGGCTTTTACCATGCTGTTTAGAAAGTCCATAGAAGTCTATTTGGCTTGGAAGTCCAGGTTGTAAATAACGCACACGTTTTCCCTAGCTGGTTGGGGCGCTCTTTGAGAGATGCATTAATGGGAGTGTTGGAGTTGAACCTGTACAAGTACTTGTTACAAGTTATTTCCGGTTGGAAAAATTTTCTTCTGATATCTTGCCGTTAAGACTACAAAAGAGGCCTCTCGCCCATTGCTGCCCGTGTTGTATGGCCTCCGAGTATAAGTCCAACTTTGAAGTCGTTTTTATCTCTTTGATTTTTAGCACATGGTCGCCATCAAGTATGCCTTCTATAACCCCGACCACGTACGCAACTTCCTGTTCCGTGAAAATGTTCAAGCGAAGCCGAAAGACTTCTTGTCGAAGTTCCTTAATGGCCAAGAATGAGGTAGTTCGAGTAGTTGTGTCTCGCCAGTGCATTAGAATCGGTAGAAAACTTTGCATGTCATTTGCATTAGAAAGAAGAAATAAACTCTTCTATTGAATGTTCTAATCACTTCGAAGACGGATATCTGCCTATTTTTGTGTGATTGTTGCTGAAATATTTAATCTTGTTGTTGGTAACTGTTCTCGAAAATTCTCGCTTTTCACAAAAGCTTGTTTCAGCTGCTAATGTTGTTAAGACTTCACCTGAGATTGTTAAACAGATATTTTGGAGCAACTCAGCAATACGCTTCGAGATCGCAAGCATCAGTCGCGAAGTCCTCGCTTGACAGTGAAGAAGTTCGGACGTTCTCGCTACTTTCATCAGAATGGCATAATGAGAGCGGGTCTTTCAAAGCGCTTCACTCTCTCAATGTATTGCGAGTTCCATGGATTCTTCAAAACATCAAGGCTTGTTTCATATCATTGGATTAAATTTAGTGGAAGGTACTATTAAACATCTTTACAGAAGAAAGGATCAGTTGTGGACGTGGGATGCGGTGGTGGTATTCTTTCAGTGCCACTAGCTCGTGCTGGCCTGAAAGTTACTGGGATTGATGCAACTGAGGACGCGGTAGGCGTGTTATTCCAATGCCGAAAGAAATAGCGGCGGTCTTAGGGAAATAAGCTGCTATATAACACTTGATTCGAATCAGGGTTCACCATTTTCATGTCATTAAAAAACCGAACTGAGGAACTTAATGCTTGAATTAGTAGGATTTTGAGATCTTCATAATGGTACATATGCGGCATCACCAGAAACAGGAATAGAAATCGATATCGCGCTGGTTAATGAAAAGTCGCAACTTGTTCAAATAGCTAAACTGTATTGGGTCAGCTCCGCCCTCTTCTCCATTGCCCAGCCATTCTTGTTTCGTAATGTTGCTTATTTAACTATGGTCAGTGTTCAAGAAGTTCATGAAAAGTGGTGAAATAGACTGACTGCTCTATAAAGACCAATCTATAGAGACTAATTGATTCGTTTTCATTGACGCGAAGGCTGATCTAAGTTTACATAGTCAAAATGATCTCATTCACAAATTGAAATTTGCCTGTTTATTTGCTCATTAGTGTTGTCTAGGTGATTGCTGCACGCAATGCGCTTGAGTCACGACCCCTAAAGGTTTCCGGTGTATCTGAGCGAATCTCATATCATTGTGGAACTGTGGAGGATTTCTCTAAAGATCATGAATGGGGCAAGTTTGCAAAGTCTTGCACGGTTTCAGTCTCGTGTTGCAATTGCATATCTCTAATTGTGAAACTAGTGTTTGCAATTTGGTTGAGTTCTTATCGCTGCTTCCTTAGCATCCGATTTGGGGTCCGTCTTCCTTGCTGGTCGTTCTATCAGAATTCGCTCTCCATATGTCGAAATACCATTGTACGAGCTTTGTTTGAACAAACGTGTGGGTCGTTGCTTTGCGCTCGTCATTCAATTCTGAACCATCACATCGGTTCGATCCGCTTCTCCATTTTATTTTGTGCGCTGCTGTTCCTGAATATTATGCATGTGCTACACATGCATATTCATATATGTTTAGTTTAAATGCATTCGAATATGTTGTTTAGTAGATGATATGCTTAGTAGACAACATCTCACGGTCGTACCGATTCACGCAGAAGCATTTTCGTAGCGATTATGATGCCATTGATTCTAGTTAGGATTCACAATGGTTTCGAGGGCAGCAAATTAAACGGAAATTAAAGCAGTGCGGGAAATCGATCATTGTTAGTTCTGGTTGTTTGCAAACATAACTGATAAGAATGCTGTGCAGTGTTAAATCGATAGTTGCTGTGTGATATTGATGAGAAATGAATCCAATGGAACGAAGATGCCTGCGCATTTCTACATCTGGTCGATGCCTCATCTCCTTTTTGGGGCGCTCCGAGTGCTGTTTAGCGCCGTATTGATCGTGCGCGTCGCATTTGTCGAAGTGTAGTTGAGCCGATGTCCTCGACTGCCAGTCAGCGTTCCCTCATCAAGGACTCGCACAAATTTTGGTCCAATTTTCAGAAAACAATTCTACTAGTAGCTATTCCGTTGCACATCTCATGTTTTGTAATGCGATTTAACAGATGCATATGTTTGCGTCCGACTTTTGCGGCGGCGGCCTCCATCGACGCAATCAATTCTCCTATCCGCTTTTGTAGTAGTGGTCGTGCGTTCCTCGCTCTCCAATCTCTCGCATGCGCACCCGCTGTTCTCCACGTGGCGCTTGGACAAGGATCAAAAACAACATATCTGTTACATGATTTCTTCATCATTGCAATTTTCTTGACGGTTTTTTAGAATTTTTCGTCATCACATTCGTTCAGAATTCGATGCTATTGTTGCGTCTGAAATCGTAGAACATGTTGCAAATCTCGACACATTCATCGAGGGTTGCGCTCGTCTGGCAAAGCCGGGTGCACCGTTGTTCTTCACTACAATTAATAAAACTCTGGCTAGTCGCCTTTTTGCCATATGGTTAGCTGAGGTAATTTCAGTTTTTTAACCATAAAATTCCGGTGTTCTTTAATCGATTTAAATTGCCATCATATCTGTAGGATGTGATGAAAATTGTGCCTCAAGGAGTTCATCAGTGGGAGAAATTTGTGGAGCCCGACCTTCTTTCATCAGTCCTTGAACGCAATAAATGCAGCGTCAGGTAGCACCTTTCTATCCATCATCTATTCTCGTTGTGAATTTATTTTCTCCAGGGCCGTTATTGGCTTCACATACAATCCGGCAACAAACGTGTGGCACTGGACACCATTTACGTCAGTGAACTACGCTTTGCTCGCTATTAAGAATTATTAATTTTTTAAATAAAATTTGCATTCTTCGACCCAGTGTGTTTTGAGAAATGTCGTTTCTGCGGCAAGAATATTTATTTCCATATTCATGTGATTTATGTTTGTTGTATGTGCTACATAGCTGATGACATTGTGATTTTGATTTCAAATAATACGATTTCGTACAGCTAAGCTCTTCTTCCTGTAGCCAACGATGGATGAGGAATACGACGCAATCGTTCTCGGAACGGGTCTCAAGGTGAAATTTAGATGCTCATCAGTCCGCATTGATCAATTGAACTGAATGCCGCGTTGTTCAGGAGTGTATAATTTCTGGTATGCTCTCCGTTTCGGGCAAAAAGGTTCTTCATATCGACAGAAACAACTATTATGGAGGAGAGTCGGCGTCGCTGACTCCTCTAGAGCAGCTGTACGAGAAGTTCATGGGTTGGTTCCATCGTTTTTTCATAGTGGCTTGAATTTTCATTGTTGTGGTGTTTTTTGTTCTACCTTCGCTTAGTCGAACGGAAATCACTAACTGGTATTACGTTGCGAAATTATTTGCGTTCACTTTCCAGGGCCAAGCGCTAAGCCTCCACCAGAGATGGGTCGTGGTCGTGACTGGAACGTAGATTTGATTCCTAAATTTCTTATGGCTAATGGATCTTTAGTTAAGCTCCTCATTCACACTGGTGTAACTCGATATCTTGAGTTCAAGTCAGTTGAAGGATCGTACGTTTACAAAGGCGGAAAGGTGATTGTTTTTCTGTTTTACTGAAAATGGTATCTTTCTGGCATATTAAAGCACGTAATTTATTATGACTGAAGGTATACAAAGTGCCTGCTGATGAAATGGAAGCTCTGGCCACCAGTTTGATGGGAATGTTCGAGAAACGTCGTTTCAAAAAGTTCCTTTGTTGGGTGCAATCATTTGATAAAGTCAACAAGGACACATGGCAAGGTCTTGACCCTGATGTTCACACCATGCAGCAGGTTTAACTTTTAGTTCTTGTCTTTTTCTTTGACTAACTAATTTTTTTTCGAGTTAAGGTTTATGAGAAGTTCGGCCTCGACGACAACACTGCTGACTTCACCGGTCACGCTTTGGCTCTCTATCGAGATGATGAGTAAGTGATTTGACATAATGCGGTTCAACACTTGTGTATGCTGATGCTTTTCAGCTACAAGCAGCAGCCGTTTGGTCCAACTGTTGATAAGATTCGTCTCTATTCTGACTCCTTGGCTCGCTACGGGAAGTCTCCATACCTTTATCCTTTGTACGGTCTTGGAGAACTACCTCAGGTTCCTTTTTCTTTGGTTTCTAGAGCCCTATCACGGTACTCACATTTCCTGTTTTCAGGGTTTTGCTCGTTTGTCAGCAATTTATGGAGGCACTTATATGCTAGATAAGCCGGTAGATAGTTTGATCATAGAGAACGGAAAGGTGGTTGGTGTCAAATGTGGAGAAGAGACCGTCCGTGGAAAGCAGGTAAAGCTAAATCACATCAAAACCTTATGAAGAAGAGTGCTCAGTGTGGTCGATAGATAAGAGTAGTCTTTGCTACTGCTCGCTGATCTAGAAATTGGTTGTTTTTTGTTACTTTCCTTCCAAACAAAAAAAGGAACTTGAAAACATATTCGTCCGTTTTTTTTTCGCAAAAGTTAAGCCGTCTTACAAGGTTTCAAGAAATCATTAATGTTGCCCCTGGTTCAATAGTCTTTATATCATAGTGAGAGTTTCTCTCAATCACTAGTAAACCTAGAAAATTCAGGTCTACTGCGATCCATCGTATGCTATGGATAAGGTGAAGAAGGTCGGCCAAGTTGTCCGCGCCATCTGCCTTCTTAATCATCCCATTCCTGGCACGAACGATGCTCAGTCGTGTCAAATTATCATTCCACAAAAGCAAGTGGGAAGGCACTTTGGTGGGTTATCCTTATGATTTGGTGATATCACTTGCGGGTGCTCATTAGATACGCTATTATTTTACAGATAATCGCTTCCTCTTCTTCAGATATCTATATCTCCTGCTGCTCAAACACGAACATGGTTACACCGAAAGGATGGTTTGTTGCTATGGTATCTACAACAGTAGAGACAAATAATCCCGAGGCCGAGATTCTGCCAGGGCTACAACTTCTCGGAACTATCACAGAAAAGTAATCTATATATTTATATGTAATTTTTTTGCAACTAAATTAAGACTCATGAAAAAAAGCAGCACTGAAGTGTGTTGCAATGTTTCCAATTTTGAAGGAAAGTTGACCGTTCACAAACGAGTAAGAACTGGTAGTTGTCCATCATTATTGAAAAGTATTTGTGCAAGCTTCGTGGACAGTTTTTGATGAATCCTTTTTAAGATTCATATCCGTATCTGACGTTTTCGAGCCGACAGACTTGGGACATGAATCGCAGATTTTTATTTCGAGATCGTATGATCCTACAACTCACTTCGAGACAACATGCAAGGTGGTTTTCATGAAACAGCTCTCACTTATTGTAATGCATTCGTTTAAAAGAAATTCTACCTGCTTTTGGTAATGTAGAATTACGGCTGAAATGTGGCGAATATTTGTTCGTTCAGGATGTTCTGGATATCTTCCAACGAGGAACAACGCAGGAGTTCGACTTCTCAAAGATCACCCATCTCAGCCTTGAGGACAACGAGTAGATTGCATGAGGTTTGTGATGGGGAGTATCATATGAAGCTTGTCATGTTGTCCAAAACAAAACAGCATTCATTAGTCAGCTCTGCGGTGGACGACCTCGCCCTCTCACAGCAGGGTTTTCTATATTTCTAAGTTGTTGTGGCCCAAAAGTTCTCTCTGCATTGTGAATTGTCTCGGTTTCATTTGAGCTGTTGTCACGCCTCCCAGTTGTGTTTGTTTCCTTTTTAATTCCTTTTCTTCTGGTATTATAATGTTGAAATAACTTATTTTGTATAGACGGCTGTGCTGTCATTTCTCTGTCGCTTCGCTGGTATCAGTAAAGTTGTGCATTACTTTTACTTTGATTCAACGAGTGACAATACGGCGCTATGCTGTAGTAGCTTTCATGTAAATTTTTGAATTGAAGGAAAGGCCATTAAATTTCGCGTAATGCGAGATGTCACCGCGCATTGTTTACTGTTGCAACCCGATGAAACCAGGACATGGGGATCCACTTCTATTCTGGTCCTTTTATGTGAATTCCTTCGCCAAGGTTTCCCATGTGACTCATACAATCTCTTTCCCTTCCCGTTCGAAACCGCTTTCGAAATTCACAAGTGATACCGCTTGCGTGTTCATAATGAGAACACATGATCTGCATTGCTGTAGTAACGGGTAGAAATCGTCCAATGCAGCGATTCTTTTTCTACACTTGCATTTATGCGCTTTATAGGGTGTGGTTAGCTAGGACAGAAAGCGACTTCCGCTTTTCGCAGCGCGAAAATTTTTTCGCTGCGGGAGTCCCAGGCTCACCACTGATCAGGAGTGGATCTGTGGTTTGCGAAGCGAAAATGATTCGCGGTGTGAAAAGAGAAGTCGCTTTTTGTCCTTGCGAACCATACCCCGTTTTATAGAAGCATACGTGGAAGGCTGGAAGGAGGCTCGGCTACTGGGGTGTTTTCAAAATATTTCCTATGAAGTATGAAGGATTTAGATGTTCCGTTGAGGTAGGCTTGTTTCATGAGGTTTCCGATCTGCACCGACTTTGATTCTCACCGGTTCTTATGTTTGTTCTGCTGCAGTCACAACCAAGATTAATGTTGCGTTTAGTAGCCATGATCAGCATAATGGAGAAGTTCCACAAGAATTCCAAGGCACATCACCCAGCTGGGGCGACAAGTTCTGCCTATTACTCAGCGTTCTTGTGAAACTTACATCACGCGAATCGCGAGGTAAACCAGTGAATAATATATCAAGTTGAGGAAAACGGTTTGATCGAAATTTTTGTTCTCTCTTAATTCTTCTTAGAAGATCAATGGAATGGGTCCCATAGTGGGGGCAGGGTGAAGATTACCAAAGCTTCACTGTTTCAAACAACAATGACCTCAGCTAGGTGAAGCCATCTGCCAGCCATTCTTTTCATAAGTTTGCAGGGCCACATTTTACACTAGATGTCGTCTATATTTGCCCTGCATTCAGGGAAGCCAACACACCAGCGCTCAATACCCGCGCCTGGTATCAGCGCTTCCCAGGGAGAAATTCGCTCAAAGGTAACGTCGTTCAGGATGCGCGAGGTCAACCGAGACGTTGGACCACGGTTGGACCGACACGTTGGACCGACGTTGACCGCTCTCCGCGCCGGCATTCGCACTCGCCTTGCGCGAGCCGTCTGTGTCTCCGTGCGTACGTTCACTCTCGGCATTACTCTCACACGCTAGAGAGCCATGCGTTGGACTTTGTCCAACGGACGGTTGACCCTGCTTCGGATCCCTATGAAGGCCAATGCTAGCACACGGGCGTTGCTAGAATACTGTCGCCCATCATCGTAGTGATCCAGGCTACCATAAGAAAGTGTTAAGGATCACAATCTTTCCATCTGCGCCCTCATGTAACGAGCTTCCTAATGTGTCGTTACTGGGGATGGTAGTTGGGTCCAGCTTGCCAGACATACGCCACGTCACCAGGGGCTGTCTCTCGGAGAACCACCTCGAAAACAGCCACAAGGTGGCCAGTGCAAGTTAAGGGTTTGCTCTGTAACTGTAGAAGCTGGGGGTGGGGCTATGCGATGGAAACACCAGTATGTCTCTGTCCATGTTTGAACTTCCCGCGACAATACCCGATCGCATGTTTCGAAGCGCTCCCGCTACAAAATTACCGAACATGAATGGGAGGTGCTATTCTATACAGCCTATTTGCTAGATCTAGGCCACCCTTATTACTTTCTTAATTGTGCGCTCGAAGATTACCTTCCCGAAGAAAAATTCGATGATCACTCAAAACCTGAAAATGAGATCTTCAACTCCATTGATTCGCCACCTCCACAATCCGGACTCTCAGTGCTGAAATTCTGTCACATCGTTTGGCATATATTGCCGACCATTATGATAAACATACTATAGATTGAGATGCTATTGTAACAAAAATTGACTGTTTGGAAGGAAGGTGAAATTTTGCTTGAGACTTCTCCCAACCTAATACAAATACATGTCAAAAACTGGTGAAGGTGGCCATTCCCGAAGGAAGTGGAAAAGCTGGATTTGTCAGCTTTAGTCGGGTCGCGAAGGGATAGTTGAGCAACTTCTGGCCGCCTGTTTCTATGCAACTACTGGGGATCAAAAAGTGAAAGAAGAAGTTTCACCAAAAGTCCCAACTCGTAATCTCTTCCTGCGTGGCAACGAGTGCGATGACTTACCCTCCCTTTCAAAAAAACGAGAAGAGCGTCGGATGCAGACTATACACCACAAGTGACGACGACCTCCAGGTAAATCCGGTTAGTAGTGGTTCATAGTGCTGCAACAGGCTAATCATTTCATTGGCAGAAAACATTTACATTTTGTGGAGGCGTCGTCACTTGTGGTGTATGGTCTGCACCGACGCTCTTCTCGCTTTTTGAAAGGGAGTGTACCATCGCAATCGTTGCCACGGAAGACAGAAACAGTTGCTATGTCCAAGGTCCAGGGATCGGATCACGGGTCAGATGCCAACCAAACCAACCAGACCTGTCGCTACTTCCAGATCGGTTGCTTGATAGCACACCTATTTGGGAACTATAAGACCACTGGCTCGCATGACTTATGGGCGTAATGCACATCAGAGTTCCACTACGCTAATAAATGTAAGCCGAGTATGTGGCGCATCCTAGAACCAAAGCTGAGGGGCCCTTTCCTCATGGTGCTTTTAATTTTACAATATTTTCAGTGAGTAAGACATACATAGGAGGTTCATAGGTGGTGCATGTTTCCTGCAGCGCGAACCACGCGATGCCGACTACGTCGTCTGTAACTGTGACACTTGGTGGCGTCCCACATGTTATCAGTGCAGAACTTGCACTTTTCAAAGAAAAAAAATTGTCAGTAGTCAATTTTGACTTGACGTTTTAATTTCGTTTGTTAACTGCTGTTTCAACAAAATATGATGCCATCGTCATTCCCAGTTGTTAGGTCGTGCAACACTGGCAAGAGGCGCTATTTTGCGCCCATCAGTGGTGGATTCTTCTCCAAGGAGGCCGAAGGCCGAGAAAGCGGCTTGAACGGCGCTTTCGCGATAAGGTGAAATGTGAATGTAGAGGTGCCAACCCGTTGACTTGAGGAGAGGGCGAGTTTCGATGGCCAGTACAGCAGTTCTCTTAAAAAGGCAATCGAACATTGGCATCCACTTCAAATACATTTCTGTTATCATTGTTTCGAAATGGCAGCGATGGGCGTGTCCGAGAACCACAGGGAATTCTGAGGCTTCTCCTTCGCCTTATCACATCCTTGACAGCGTCGTCCACCACAGAAGCGTCTCAGGTCGTTTCCCTTAACACTCTTCTACACTCTCACCTAGCCATATTTCTTTTTCATGAGCACCCGTTTGATTGCGATTTTTACCCTTGAAGGCGGAGTTTAGGATTAGAAAACAGACTATTAGAAGTAAATAAGAGGTGGTTAGTGGAGCCGGGATGAAGAAAAAATCATGAGAAATGGCCTGAACCCGAGAAATGGATCCCTTCCTTGCCCGTTGATTTCCGCACTGATGCGACTCTCATCGGCTGCCCTCTCCTACGTTGACCCCCCTCTCTCTGATAGACGTCTAGACCTGCAGCGAGTAGTTAGCCAGTCGGTAGGCGTGCTGCTTCGATAGCTGCGCGGGTTTCGCAGGCATACATATTCTTCGCTACGAATTGTGTGTCGGTCCGCACACTTAGGTGTTCCGCCTGTCTTTGCGTCATGTAGGCAAGTTCCCATTCTTCGCCCTTATCGTGATCTCCCTTTGAATAAACTCGACTTTTTGTAACATCAAAGCACTCAAAATCATATCACCTCTCCAATTTCATTTCACCAGCAAGTGAAATTCTGTGTTCGCGTTGATCTAGTTAGAACAGCTGTACACGTAAGCAAGTGGAATGGGTCGGGTAATGAGAAGCTAGCTGTTATCTGGAGATCCGCCGTCCGAGACAATCATCGGACTGTGGGCACTATATGTATCGAAGGACTGTTTGGTCATCGAAAATCGCGTGAACTGGTCCAACGGTGGCAATTTTGTGACTCCTTCAATTGGAAAGAGATAAGTATTCGTTGGAGAAGCTCATAAACCTACTCTAATGAGGGGGAGGGGGCAGAAACTTGACGATAGTTATTGAGAAAAGTATTATAACAATTTGAAGCCAAAAACAGCGCTCTGCAAAAAATCGGTCCGCGATTTCCCGGAAACGTTCCAACGAGGCGTTTTTTGACTCCTTTACCTTGTGAAATAAGTTACCCTCATTAGCTTAGGAAGCTCGAACTTCGTGTTCGAATCAGGGACAAGAATCGCAGAAGGTGGAATTTGAAGAAAGTTATAGCCATTGAAAGCCAAAAAACCTGGTCTTGCAAAAAAAACGGTCCAACGGGGCGATTTTTTGAAGGAAAGAGTTTTGCGAAAGCTTGAGCACTTTTTAGAAAGAAAACAGTCTGAGCTTTCCAATTTTTCTTACCGCTCCTCATAATTCCTTCTTTGAAAGAAAGTTTACAACCTTTCAAAGGACGAAGTGCGCATTTCTGTGAATTCTTTGTTTTCTACCCACCAACTGGTGTAGTGGGTGAGATAGGCAGTAATGTCATAACTTCTGAACAGCAAGTTTATAAGATTACAATCTATTTAGCGTCTTAAGAAATACTGATATGGAACAGAATTACGTTTATTTGAAAGTCAATAGTCTGTTTCTCGCTGCCTGCGCTGCGCCCAGGGGAAGTGCGAAAACACAACGCTTCCGTGCTCCAATCGGACACTTCTGCTGTATGCTCTCATGCTCTGAGATGCGCCATGCACTCGTTTGATATGCGCTTGCATATCGGAATGGAATTTTTTGTGATTTTGGAACGCCCATTCATGAAAGGCAGGCAAAGCGCCATTCGAACTAAAGGGCAGTACTGTCTAGCAACTAATGAAGGCAGTTCGTTTTGCGATGTTATGCATTAGTAATTACCGGATATCAGGAAACTAGAGCTCGTCTGCTAACTGTGTTTGAATTCAAGCCAAGTGTCTTTAGATTTTTGTAGATTGCACTTATTTCCCCTAGTGTTAGCTTTTTCCTTAGCAATGTACAGTACATAATGAGTGCGAGGGGGGCGGGGTGCTATTGGGATGACTGATCCAAGAGGTGAGGGTCCGCGAAAAATTTCTGAAATCGGCTAATCGTGACGGTTTACCTCTGACTTAGGAGGTCCGCGGGCCCTACTAGGTGAATTATCCTTCTTCGATCTTCAGTTCTAAATCGTTCACGATGAAAAAGCAACCCATTTCAAATTAACCTAGGGATGGTGAGTGGTACACGAAAGAAGGAAGAACCATGAGAAACGGCCCAGAACCCGAGAAATGGTACCCCTTCCTTGCCCGTTGATTCGAGCATTGATGCGACTCTCATCGCTGTGCCCTCTTCAACACTACGCTCTCTCAGCTATCTAATCACTCGCCACGTATTGAACTACGGCGAGTGATCAGATGATCGGTGGGCGGAGATCGCCGGACCCGCCAGCTTTGAGGCATGATAGGTCGCCGAGGTCAAATTTTTCCATGCGAATTGCGCGTCAGTTCGCACCCTCAGGAGGTCCGTGGGTCCCTCAACTAGGTCAGTTTCCCTTTCTTCGACCTTCATTCTAATCGTGAATTCCTCCTTTAAGTCGGGTAGATGAGGGATTGTTGCACAGCGTTATGATAAGATTTGCATTCAGCAAATTCGGTTTTAGGGAAAGCTAGCAAGTTTTGAATATTGATATTGAAAGCGGAGATTACTTGTGACTCAACTCAATAGCTGGGCAGCTATCAATATCACAGGAAACTCGGCTACTGTATGACCCCAGCAGGACAGGTCAATTATAGTTTAAAGGTAGGTTCAGTTTCATACTTGCAGCGCTATGACTATTCAGCTCATTTTCGCAATATTCACACTAGGCATCTTTGAGCAGAGTAACGTAGCTTGCCTGCCAACTGAGAAAAGAACATACACGGTCGACCTCGTTTCACGAAGGTGCAGTTTATGATAGACAATAGGAGTGGGCGCAAAGGACGTCTTGGATTTTATGACCGGAAAATGTGGTTAGCGCAGTAAACACTCAGCCAGTCAGAAATGTATTTTGCAACATTTTTGATAGTGGAAGAACACCTATTTCATAACCTTGACAATGGCCTAAGCGTAGGGAAAACTTGCCATGAGTAGAGTGTTTGTTCCAAATAGGCACTTAACGGCGGCTATCGTTGCCGTAACCGCGACCGCAACGACAAATGACCGGTGAAACAGGTCGATGGAGCCATAAAAGTTCGCTACGCGCACATATCTACTCCTTCACTTACCTATCACGTGGACGTCCTTCTTACGCAACCCACTACTACCGTTCCATTCGTCCTGTTCACGGCCGCTCTTCGCTCTTCCCTTTCATTCTTCGCAGTGGCTACGACGAACAGTCTGACACACCTAGTACTCCTTCCGAACAACCCTTTCACATATTCTCCCTACCTTTGACGAGAACCTTTTATACTTCTCAACAAAATGGATATTGCTGCCTTATTTGTGGACATCTTCAACCCTCTCCCAGCATATCCGAGTAGGCAGAGAGCGGTGCGTATGCCCCATGCTCCAAAAAGGCCGTGCCCATTGAATCGCGACGAAAAGATCGTGAGTGCTTCTGTTTGCCTGAAAATAACTATTTTTCAGAAAGTCTACTTTCCAGCTAGCAGTGCGTAATGCCCTACGGTACATTCCAAAGCAGCATCACGGTGTTTTGGCAAAAGAGTTTGCAGAAGAATTGGAGGAGTGCGGGCACATTTATGCCTACAGATTCATGCCAAACTTCCACTTAAAGGTGAGGAGTTATATGAAATGGCGAAAATACCTCAATTGGTCTCCTATTTAGGCACCACCGCTAAACGACATCCCTGCGAAGTGTCAACAAGCAGCAGCGATAATTTCAATGATTCTTAACAATCTCGATCCAGAAGTAGCCCAGTTTCCACAAGAACTCGTCACTTATGGAGGAAATGGCCAAGTTTTCAGCAATTGGATACAAGTAAAACTCATCAATATCTATCATTTTTTATTCAAAGAACAACAAAAATTGAACAAAAATTTGATATTTGTTTATGTGCAAGTGAATCTAGAGGCGCCTTCCCGCCGCAAGAGCTTTCGCGGAAGCCTTTGAATTACCTTGCAACTTTGTGAACTTGGTCGAAATGTTCCTCTACCATACAACAAAATCAGCCAGTAGGTCGTTGTTTCAAAGTGTGGTGGTATCAGCCGAAATTAGGGTGGCAAAGCTGCGATACAGCTACACTCAGCAACTGATCGTAATGGTAATTGCTTATTGCACAGGCTTACACCCATGCTCGAACAGCGAAAAGCGTGAAAATCCAGAAGTAAAAAAGGGGTATTTTCCTAGGAACATATATAATCACACCAAGAGCTACAACTACAAGAGTGAAAGAAAAGAAACGAAAAAAACGGAGGACATAACAAAGAGTGTTAGGATGTAAGATACTTTTCTAAGGCTTTCTTGAATGAACTTAGTTTATTCCGTTGAAATACCTAGTCTAAGCAGCCTAGTAAACTCCGAGCTAGCTTCTGTTAACAAAAAAGTGGCGTCTGACGTTGCGTTTAGCCCTGGCAATTGAAAATTTTGTAGGGCATCCCCTAGTTCTCGATTCCCTAACGAATAGCAAGTTTATTGGGCTTGACGCCCGAATGACACGAAAACCTTAAAGAGGGTTACCAAATCAAAATTCCTCCTTTGGAGCGCTAAAGTTTCCAGTTTAAGATTAGCATTTCGAGTCACTCCAGAAGGAATCTGATCATACTAGAAACTGATTACCCTCGGGAAACGTTTTCGAGTAAAACTATTTTGAACGGTTTTGCTTGTAGTGTGTGTTTTTGTTATGAAAATTGTAGCTGAGTGAATAATAAACTATGACTGCGAGTGCTCAATTCGGTTCGTGACTTGTGAACAGGTGGTTATCTAGTATGAATCCGCGGAGACCACTTGGAAAGCTTCGACTCTTTTGTTTGCGCGGGGTGGTTCAAGTGTCTTTATCTAATTTTTGCAACTATCGCGCGCAGTAGCGGCTCCTTGCTGCTAGAGTCAACCAAGGGGTTGCGCAGTTCACAATGGTAGATTGTACTTGAGCTGTTTCGGAGGTTGAAGTATTATTGGCAAAAGGTTGGTATTTTCAGAAGTTGAAGGGTCGTGTTTGGCGAGGTTTATTCAGCAGAATTTTCTCAAAAAAAAACCATAAATCAGGCAGAAGATCAGCTGCCATTTTCTTTAGTCCACGTTCACCCTCCCCCTTCCCTCCCTCCCGATCGACGGCGGCCGTCGGCGCTGATGGAAGGAAAGTTGGACGAGTTGGGCTGTGTCGGTGTCGGGTATGTGAATCAGATGTGGTAGGGTGGGGGAGGTGGAGATTTGGCAGTTGGATTGGGACTCCTCTAGGTGGAGGTTGTCAAGTCCTTGGAATTGAATAAACGGACAGTTGACCTTGCTTGTCACTTCCACTGGTTCACTACTCACACATATAATACCTAAATTGGTAAATCAGCTCATGGTGTTTTTGTTTCTGTGTTAGACTCAGTCAATGCCTGCCTCAATCTGGAAAATGACTTGCGCCTATTCTTAAAGGCGCTTCATCTGCTCTAATGGTACCGTACTCTCGCCTTTCTCAGTATTCTAACTGTAGTTTCTCATATAATCTAAGAAAATAGAACATCCCGATTTTAAAGGGGCGTTTCCGCAACTGCTCTTGGGTTTCATAAAGACCAAAAGCACACACATCGGCGTGGTACATTTGTGTCGTAGAGAAGGAGAGAAGGCAAACGGCCGGTCAATCGGTTTCAAGTATAAAAAGAAAGACTCTGCCTTGGACGAGACGCCTCACTAAGAAGTAATGAAGGCGTTTGATTGAAAAATCTCGTGCACTGGGAAGCGTTCGCAAGAAAAAAAAAGCATGAAGCTTCTTTTTTTTTGTTTGAGTAAAGAGCAGTGACTCTGACTAGCTCGCTTGTAATCGCGCTGATAAGTCGTGGCAGTTGAAAAGGCGCGATCTACACACATTTCCGAAGTATTTTACCTAACGACCAATTGACTTGGCGAGTGCTAGAAGATATAGAAACCGAAAAAAAATCGGAATATTTGGGCTAAGGAGCTGTCTGCCTTTCTCATAGGAGATATTGGGTAATCTTGTCAATACTTTCTAATGTTCCCCAGTACTTGCGCACTTTTTTTTCCGAATGTAAGTCAACTACTGAGCCCTGTTCAAGTTACCTGGCAGTGAGTCCTACTGATAATCTTGCAGTTCCGTCTGGTGCTTCTCTACTTGTCCAAGATGTCCACTGAGCAGACACTCTCGTCATGTACTCAGGTCATCCACTTGGTCTGTTCCCAAGTCATAGCGATGCCCCACGGGTGACCATAACCAATGGAATGGTGAGTATTTTCCTTCGCACTATTGCACTGAATGAAGCTGAATTTTCTATGAGCCGTTGCAGATGATTCCAAACTACTCCACAAAGCCGCTATACGATAAATATTTCGCCTTGGGTGTCACGCAGTATGGGCAGATGACAGCCGGCAGCTACTGTTATATTGGGCCGCAGGGCATTGTCCATGGCACGACGGTGAGAATGAACTGGAAGTCTGTCACGAATTGCCTGCAGATTGCCTCGTTTGATTCAGATCACGATTTTGAATGCTGGGCGACGTTATCTTGGGACGGGTGACCTCAAAGGAAAGGTATTCGTGACCGCCGGACTGGGTGGAATGAGTGGAGCGCAGCCCAAAGCCGCCACAATTGCCGGTTGCATCTCAGCCACTGCCGAGGTGAGCCAGTAGTCTTTTACCGTAAACTTTATGGTGAATTGTGTGCGAAAAAAGAGGAGCGCTTATTGCTCACAAATGAGAAACGTATACCGTTTAATCTTTTGGTTTGGTCTTTCACGCTTACAACTGGTAGGCTGGCTGTTGTGAAGAGATGATGTCGCTCGTATTCATTTTTCTCTGCGAAATACTTCAAAATTTTTAGCCACATACGTGCACTCTTGCGCACAGCAACCTTGAAGTGTCGGTTCAGGTTCTCCATGTTGACCCGCCTCATTTTTCACTAGTACTACTCCTCAGCGGCGAGTGACCGCAAATTTTCGATTACGCATGTTCCACAGCTTCAGTCAGGGAGTACGGCCTCCAAAAGTCACGCATAGCACTCGCAGAGAACGCAACAACCAACCATCAGGGCACCAAGCGGATTCATCTTCGGGGCGGGGGTAAAGCTCTCTAAGAAGAAAACCTTCAGTGGGGAAGGGTGATCCCTGAACTGCCATGATGCCGACTCGAGGCGAGAAGCGCCAAAATATAGGATTGCGCGGTAACAAAAATAATGGCATATATAGTCAAACCGGCCCTTAACTTAATTTTTGTAGAATACGCTTTTCAAACCTAAGCTACCTTTTGTCGTCACATACGTTAGGCTCTCCTGTCCCAAAGCAATACTCCAACCTGCATGTTTCAGAGTCCTACGCAAGTTCTTGGACATCTAACCATTACCCAGTTTTAAGGTAGATTATATTCACAAGGGTAAGCCGCAGTCCGTACGTAGACCTTGCTATGACCGCGCAGTGCAGGCTGGGATCACTGAACTTAATCGTAAAAACTACTAAAAGGCAGCACTCGTGAAGCCCTTCAGGCGCGCCATGAATTTCGTCTCCATTGACAAAGAATTGAGCTCGATTGCGTTGTTGTTCGGCGAAGTGAAGGTGAGCGCCAGGCCCTGTCCACGTCAGGATGTTCACTCTCTCGAACTAGTAGTGATCCTGGCTGAGTGATAGAAGAGAGAGGGAAGGCCAAACTGGTCTTCGCAAAACTTAGTCTACAAATAGTGCAGTTCACAACAGCGGTTAAAGCTTCGATAATCCAAAAGGCTCACTAATAACTTAGGGGTACTTAATTACGTGCACAAGAAAAACTAGAACTTGTTCTTCACATCAGTTTTCCTTAGGTATTATCACTAAAGCGAATCTCTAAATTTGTTCCTTGATCTAACCATAAGTGTGTGATTTTATCAGGCTCAAGAGGTAACGTGTCAAGGGGTGTATCCGAGGGAAGTAGCAGCTCCTTTTGGATTCCGGAAAAACAGCAACTAGAACAATCCATAGCTTCTCAAACATTTACCTTCTTCAACCTTCTTATCAAAGCAAATGTTAGCAGAACTTGAATGCGACAAATTCCACGAAAAAAAAACGCGAAAAAGCGAAAAACCAGCAAGTATCTTCTATCATTGACATGCGAACCCGAATGGAGCAGTTTGCTCTGTAAACTGCAGTCGACAATAGGGGTGTTCAACCCATTATTGGAGGTAGAGATGGCAGGCTGTGCCTAAAAATCGCTTAGCACATTGCGGACCGCCTTCGTATCTTTTTTATATTTTTCTAAAATGAATCGTCATTAGTCTATCAACAGTTTTAATAACGAAAGGTGCGCTGGTTTGCTGAGCAGGACTTTGAAAAGCACTCCGCCCCCAAAAGCGATCCCCCACTAGTTTGGTGATTTGGACGAGCTGCGTTGCCAGCAGCGGCACAACTGAAGCAACGATTGGAGCGTGGTTGCATGGCATGGTACCACCAAACGCCTTGCGGTGACTCGTTCATACGTCCGACTTCTGAGCTGTTACCTGTTCATGAGTGAAAACCAACGGCCAAAAAGGGGGTCCCGTTTTGCGTTTTCTTGACGGATTTCTCTGCTTTTTTCGCCACTGGCGTACCACTGAGCACCACCTCGTCTCTCTGAACCCTCCTACAAATTATCGTAATCGCTGCCTCTAATAGCACTCTCGACTGAGACAAGATTTTTATGCACAGCTGTACCGCCACAAGCAGAGCCGTTACACTTAAATGATGCAGTGATCCAAATCGGTTTTGGATATGGGCAGGGCGAGAAAGGAGGCCCTCATCGTTGGGGGAGGGGGCGTCAAAGTGAGCGAGCCTCTTACACCATTTGGTCTGAGCCTTAGGGAGGGAGAGGGATTCTGGGAAAGGATGTGAGCATATTTTCTTCTCTCTCGCCTTTCTCCGCTCTCCTGTGCTTCGTCCTAGTTTTGAATGTCCCCTCCTCCCCCAAGCCATAACCGCCAAAAAAGAAATTCTGCCCATCAGCAGATTTTTCTTGTTCTTAATGATGCCATCGTTGATAAGGTATCACTGCAAAAAATTTCCTAAAATGCCCTTGCCTCTATAAACTGGAAGCTCCCATCACACTCCCACCGTCTTCAGAATGACGTCCTGCCTGCCACCGCCGTCGAGCTCAAGGAGTCCACCCAGGGTCGGTCCTATCGTTGCTACTTTTCAAAAAGTTTTTACGACCCCCCTCCCTCATGAAATGTTTCATACGACCCCCTCTTTCAAAACAATTTTTACCCCAAAAAATTACCGTCGAGCGGGGGTATATACTTACCATAAAACCGCAAAAATTCCCTACATTTCCCTACAATTTCCATGTATTTTACCCATATTTCAACTGCTCCATTTTCTAGGGGGGTATATACGCGCGCTGAAACGGCAAATTTTCTCCCGCGCCGCTCCCCACTCATCACATGCAACTTCTTACAACCGAAGCAAGTACGACCCCCCTCTACAAACTCATCAAAATACGACCCCCCCCGTTGCTACTTGTAGCAACATAGGGTTGACCCTGGTCCCACCTGAACTGCCTCAGCCTGGAGTTTCCTTCTTTCTTCGGTAGACTCAGTGGCGCTTTCCAAAAGAAGTAGCTTCAGAAATGAGACTCATTGCCACCAACATGTGCCATGTTTTCGTAGTAGTTCCTCTGAGGCCGTGAACGCAGAAGGCTACTATAAAGCTTTTCAACGGGTGAATGTGCTCTTCAATTTTTAGTAAGGGGCACTCGGTGTAATGAGTGCGATTAATTTCGTCTTGAATGTGGAGAAATATGACTTTTTTTCTTTGTTGCGCCACCCCCCCCCTGTATGTCGAATTGTCCAGATATGATAAACGACAAGCAATCGACTCCCCCTTCCCCGATTCAAAAAAATTGAATCTGAAAAAGGAAAAGGATTCGCGAAAGCAGGTGCAAAACGCTGAAGAATGAGCACCGCTCCGAATCAACCCTCTGCAAAATCTCGCTAGTATTTGTTGATAGTATTTCTTACAGAGCTGCCTTCATTGATATTTCATGTGCCTTGTAAAAAAATGAGTTGTTCTACTCTCTTTCAAAACCAAGATCTGACACACGTGCGGACAACTGTAGAGCAATAGCGTAATCCATTTCTCTTCAAATATCTCCTATCTTTTTCCGCTAAGCACTTTCGAGTTTAACACATTGCGTACCGTGTGCGCCACATGGCGGCGCACGACTTTCCTGCCCTGTGTGGCCGCGTGCGCCACATGGTGGCGCACGATTTCTGAATTGGTTTTCTTCACAGTGGCTGTCGATGTTCATTCCATGTTTGCGCAGATGTATGTTATCTCACTAGGAGAACAACATACTTGAGTGGGACATCTCCAGCTTGTGAGCTAATATTTTTATGTGACACTAATAAGAGCCTAGGTTGCTAATTAAATTTGCTTGAATAAAATACATTCTTTTGAGCAAATTCAGCAGTCACCGCAATCTAGCTGTAATCCAACTGAGCTGCAATAATGTGTTTCAGCCAAAAGCTTCGCGTGAATAAAGTGATGTGCCAGCGGAACATCAGCGTAAAGGCTTTCGGAGCGCTTCTTCCACTTAACTTGCCTTTTGGCTGTATACTTTTGAAGTCTCGTGGTTTTAGGCACTCATCTTCATAATAACTTCTACTTGAAATCCCTACTCGCGCTTGCGCTACCCTCGTATCAAAATCGATAATAAATGTTCGGCAAATTATGGGTGTAATACACCCACATCCCTTGAAGTCCAGTGGAGGGTGAAATGCACCTACGATCCTGTAAACTGAATAAACCTCATTGCTGTTCAATAAACATGCTTAAGCAGGTTGTGGGGTAAAGGAACGAACTTGTTGCCATCGCTTTTTTTCACCAGAACTTGGTCAGAGCAGATTTTTTGATCCCTCACTACCGCTGTTATATAATCATTCGATAGCCACTTGGAATGTTCATGACAATTCAAATAGGCAAAAATTATAACGTAGTCCTAACAAAATTGTGACTTAGCAAGACAAAAAAAAAACAAAGTGGTAAAGGACCCTCTAAAAAGGATTTTGAAAAATATCTGTCCCGTGTGGCCGCATGCGCCACCATGTGGCGCACGGTGCGAATGCATGCGCGGCCAGGCGAGCTCGCCAGCGCAAAAACGGCTTGGTACGCAATGTGTTAAAGCCTGAGTAAAAAGCCTGAAATTCGGCAGGTTGGAAATTCATATCTCTCATAATTCATCCTCAACTGAAAACTGAAAAACCACCTTCCACACGACATGGGGACGTCGCCGGAATGTGTTTTCAAGCAGCATGATTTATTGTTTTGATGATTTTCTTTATCATCCATTTTTTATGCATATTATTATATCACTGTTCCACTTGCGTTAATGAATTTTTTTTTGTTTTTTTTTTGATTTATTTCATCTTATTTCTTCTTTCTGCCGTAGATAAATTATTTTCTTAATCTCGCTTACTATTTTTTTTTATATCAGTATGTTATTTGTACTTTTTATGTATGTCTTGATGTAATCGGTGTCTCATTCAAAGTAGTTCTTCTTATCTCTTGTTACTTATTTTTTTATATTCATTAGTATAGTTAATCTTGTTCTTATTGTTGTATTTGTTCGGTTTTATTATTTCGGTTGTTACTTTTTATTATCTTCCATTATTGGTCAATCTTAGTGGGCTTCTGATTTCTTTTGATTATTTTTGATTACTAATGCGAATTGGTTAATAGAAGTTAGTATAATAATTTGCGTATTTTCATGGTAGCTTTTTTTTTTTTTTTTTTTTTTTTTTTTTTTTTTTTTTTTAATTTTTTTTTTTTTTTTTTTTTTTTTTTTTTTTATTTTTTTTTTTTTTTTTTTTTTTTTTTTTTTTTTTTTTTTTTTTTTTTTTTTTTTTTATATTTTTTTTTATTAACGCTCGTTTATGTGGGATATTGAATCAAATTACTCTCATTTCTGCAACACTTGTCGTTGGTAGTAGGGTTTGAGACCGAAGAATATCATTCCGATGTTTTGATTCTGAGCAGTTTTGAGTTCAACGAGATGACTGGCCCATGTCGTCTTCACCGATTTTTTAGTCACAAATATTGCGCCTCATTGTGGAATCTTACTCCGAATTACTCTTCAAGTGTCACTCTGTAGGCAGGCACCATCTCCAGAATATGGCGTCACCTTTCATCGTCGTCGAGCTCAGGAAGACCTACCGTAATTGCTCGAACTGAAGCTCCTACGAAATTTCCTGAATCAATCCATGGTTGGATAGCATCTCAGAGACATTGGCTCTGTTTATGCAAACCCCCTCCCATCCAGCTTCTCAGGAAAGGTCCTAATAGTACAGCGACCCAGATCAAGGACCCCTGTCTGCTCGTAACCCGTGGCACCGTGTCGACGAACTACTTGAACTCGGTTCTTTAAGCTGCCTCACTCGACGCTTTCGTCTGCGCTCTCTCGCCTTATCAGCGGCTCATGACCACTGTGATCTCACACATTCAAACTTTTGCCACACTGTAGTTGGCTCACCCACCTCGGAGTCCCTCCCCTTACAAGGCTTAGTCCTAGGGCTCTCACCTTCCTTTGGGATTTGGAGCCGAGCCAGGCGCCGTTCTCTAATCGTCTGTGCTCTCCGCCATTCGTGGCAGGACCATGGAAAAAGTTCAAGTAGTCCGTAAACCGTGTTTCTGTGGCAGATTTTTCTTATGTCGTACACATATAGAGTCATTGTTTTTTTATAAAATAGAATTTACACTTCAATTTCAATATGAGGGCTCGGTTCGAACTTGAAAAAGTATGACTAATCCATTTCAATATGGAGACAGAGTATCTTTTTTCTCAGTGCTACCTCCTATCTATCCACTGAGCAATAAAAAAGGCCAGTTCATAATTTTCTGCGCATTTCAAGACAAGACTGATCACCGCTTATCATTTTATCTCTTGATACAGGTGATTTCGGACGCTCTTATGAAGCGTCACAAACAAGGCTGGTTGGACGAATATTCGAGCGACTTGAACGAAATCGTGGAAATGATTAGGAAGTATCGCAAAGAAAAGAAAACGAGGAGCATCGGTTATCTAGGAAATGTGGTGGATTTGTGGTGAGCGTGGCTTTCGCCCTTAAAATTAGCCTCAGTATTCCTTGAATTTTTAGGGAACGTCTTGCGGCAGAAAAAGAGTTGTTGGTGGATTTGGGTTCAGACCAGACATCACCTTCACAATCCATATTTTGGGCGGATATTACCCTGCCGGTGTAAGTGTTGAAGAGGCCAATGTGATGATGACCGGGGATCCAGAACGCTTCAAGCAGCTCGTCCAGAAGAGGTGAGCGCTGATTAGTTCCTCATTTCTTTTGCTGAGGACAACCTTTTCAGCCTCCTGAGGCAAATCATTGCCATTGACAAGCTGGCTGCCCGTGGAATGCACTTCTGGGATTACGGCAATGCATTTTTGGTGGAATGTCAGCGAGCTGGAGCGGATCTGCTTGACCCCAAGGCAAAAGACGATAAAACATTCAAATATCCCTCGTACATGCAGGACATCATGGGGTGAGTCGTCACTGAATTGTGCAAATAAACAGAGAAGCTACTCAAATTCGCAAAATATAGACAATTATTCACAATTTGGCCATCTAGTGTGCCAACGGACCTTTCCTCTCAAACTGTGAAACCGCAGGCCTATGGAGGCGATGATTCAATTGAAACGTCAGGCACAAAATAAAGTTCTACTCCGTAGGGCGCAAGAAATCGACGCGCTCACAGCCTGTCGAGGTTGCAAGAAGAGATTAGTTGAAAATATTGGGTTGTCCCATAACTCCTGTCCGATTTTTTGTCAAATTCAAGCTCCTTCAAGTCAAATCAGTGTCACTGCAAAATATGATTTCAAAAAAGACACCTAGATCTTCAGTCAGGAGATTTAAAAAGTCGAATCTGCAAGGGAACGAACGATTATGCTTTACGACTTTCATGGAGGCTGTATAGAGACCTGTAGGTAGGATCAACACTGACTTTAACCCAGTCTCTTTTACTGAACGGGGACCGCCACGGCAAAGGCGATATAGGCTGTGAAGCTCGACCTGGACATCCAGTCGCGATGAGGTCCCGTTGCGCCATGAATTGGAAGTGCACCTGGACGCTACTACCAGAGATTTGTTGCAGACACCAGATCAAACCCGATATACTATCGCTCGTCATCTGAATGAATGAACCTCGACGGAAAGCCCATGCGCCGACCGACCTTGACTGAGAAGAACGCCTGACCATCTGCGGAATTTTCATTTTGCAACTGCACAGATGGAACTTCCCTAGTCAGATCCTCAGTGGAGATGAGCCATAAATCCTCTACGACAATAACACGCGGCACCTCTCATGGTTACTCAAAGCCTGGACCCACCAGCTCAACCCACGTCCAAGCTCCATATTCGTAGGATTTTGTTCTTGATTTGTTGAATCGATTGGTATCTTGTTTCAATAGACACTTTGCCATATGCAGACAAGTATTGCGAACGCCATCATAACACAATTCCCGACGTTGGCCGCAGCAATGTGAGAGAACCGTCCTAATCGTCCCAGGATCTCCCTTCTCCGAATGCACGCACGACCTCACATTGAATAAGATACTGCCACTCTTTTTCCACTTTCTTAATGGAATTGCTGCTCGTGATACAGTTCGCCTTGTTAACCCTGACGAGTTACTTATCGGACTATCTCTTCACAGACGTTAAAGGTCCGCTCGCGATTAGACGCGCTCACATGTTCCACCCGTGGGTAGTAGGCAGGCGGACAAGTGTTGATGTCGCGCCCCTTTTGCGCTTGAAAGTGCGCGACAAAGGCGCAAGGAGCTCGTCCAACCCGCAACTCACACCTTCGTCCGCAAGCCCCACCCTCCGCTGTCGGTTGCCACGTGGCGCTGCTTGAAAAGCGCGGCGCATTTGAGGCAGCGGTCCCATCGCGATCCAATGTCATTGACACTGGAGCAAGTAGAGTTAGGTTCGTGAAACTCGTCCAGCGCGCCTCTTCCCGATTCCAAGGTGAAATGTGGCTGAAAAAGGGGAGGTCTCTGTACGGGGCGTGATCGATGGTTTGTTTTACTTTCTTTACAGATTACTCCACCGTATTGCCTTATAATTGCGCTTTTCCACACTTATTTTATTTCGAATTTTTTGCCTTCAAAGCAGCGGCGCAAGAAAAAAGTCAGTGAATACAACCACTCTCAAAACGAACCTCCGAATTCTTCAACTAATAGCTTTCTCATTTTAGGCGGACAGCACCCAAAAGTTCCTAAAGGATGCATATCGATTACGACGATAATGGCTATATTTTTCTGACCAAGTGGTTTTTGAGAAAGATAATTTGAACAGATGAAAGTATCGAAACGGACAGAAATCATGGGACAACTCAATAATTCTACGGCCTACGGAAACTTCAGAATAAAATCGAGAATAGATTTTATAAACTCAATTTAGGATTTTGAGAAGTATCAGCGGTGGAGAAATCGCAGTGATCAATTCCTTCTTTAGGGCGCTGAGCACTCTACTTCCACTTAAAAACGTATTCACATTTGAATGCGCATTTGTTTCATGGAATTGAATGAGCAGGCTAAACGAAACATGTTCAATCAGTGCGTCCAAACCGGCTAGGCTTAGTGCCATTACCAGCTGGAGTAATGGAGGGCTTGATTAGTCCGGTCAGGAACGGTTCCATGACTGTAATGTTCGTACCGCGTGGTGGCTGCTCCGATTGTCCCATCCTAGTTGCGTCAAGCTCAAGCTTAGTTAGTGAAACTATTACACCTGACAATGAGTACTTTTTCCTAAAATTGTTTCACAAGAATGCTGGGTTGTGAACAAAACTTTCGCCCCAGACGGGACTCGAACCCGCACCTCTCGCTTTCCGGGCAAGTGCGCTACAAGTTACGCTACCGGGGCACCATTTCATCCCAACTCAGCTTTTCATGGTATAAGTTGAACTTCCCCCCCCAAACGGAAAAAAATGGGGCCAAAAAATGTATTCATTATTATGCCATTTTCTTGGTATCGAAGAGTGAAGTGAAGTGGAACATATTGGGCGCATCTGCTTCAAAGCCAAATAAGCTTGGCTGCTTATTAGACTGAATTATTCCCCTTTTTTTAGCGATCTCCAGGCTCCACTCCCTAGTAGGGCGAAGTTGAGCCTTTTAGAACTCACCGAGTCTTTCACTATTCGGGGTAGCCAAGCAATCCATCCGTTCGACTCACTAATTCGTACCATAGTCGTGGAGAAGAGGAAAACATCGTTGATTTTATCGCCGTGGGCGCTTAACGACCTACCTCGAAGCTCAATGGCAGGAACAACAGGCAGTCAAAATCGTCCACATGCTTGAAATCTTCCATCAGAGGCCATAATTAAAATAAGCTGGCTTGAACAATGCGATGGATGGAACTATGGATTTACACATGGGGCTCCTGATTTACATAAGAAAAGGTGAAATTATCAACGAAGCAACTTACTAAGGAAGATCTTTCAGGACATTGAGCGCTTTTTTGAAACGGTTTCTCTGCATTTTGTAGGGTCTCATGCGAGGAACGCAGAACCACGATCACTTTTCTTGAGCACCTCTAGGAATGCCAAAACAGTCCTAAAGGAATGGTCCAGAGTTCGATCCCGATGATGACTAATTTTTGCAATATAGTTTGGTACCCCCAGATCGCCGTCACATGGTCGAGAATAGATGTCATTGTAAGTTGCAAAAATTTGTCATCACGAAGGATCAAACTTTTGACCATTTCTTCTCCGCTGTTTTGAAATTACTTGGGAGAGGGGCGAGAGAGGGGGGGGGTTCAGGGAAATGACGCATGGTTTCAGTTGTCCTCACATGAGTGCTCCTGTTCTAGCCATTTGGCAAGGCTTGAAAGCCGTTATAGGCTTCCTATCCACTAGACATCCATTTTGTGGTAGCATACGACATCGCGAGCCACAGCGATATAAGTACCAGCCATAGTAGCGGTCGCTAATCATTTTAGAAGTGCGAAATGAAAAAGTGGAAACACTGACCATCCTCCTTCCTCAGCCCCCCCCCCCCCTCCCTTCCCCCTCCACACGAAACGAAGGATCTCAATATAAAGAGCTAAACTTTGACTGGCCCGACCTATAATCTCAAAAGACCCCACGATTAGAAATGGAGGTTGGGTGGCAAATATGGCACATAACATAAATTAGAAAGCAGTTCATTTTTATCATGGCCTCCTCGGCAATGATAAAGGAAAGCTGACAATGTTTTCTTTGGGACCCTGAACTATTGGTGTCAAAAATTTCATCGTGTTCTCTTCAACGTTCAAGCGATGGCGTGCTGCATGAATGAGTTATCAACTTGAGTGATTCATCGCGTGTAATTTGTAGCCTGAAATGGCCGTCGTTTCAGCCATTTAATTTCAGAGACATTTTCTCGATGGGATTCGGGCCTTTCCGTTGGGTGTGCACCTCTCAAGAACCTGACGATCTTGCGCAAACAGATCGCATATCGTGTGAGGTGATCGAAAATCTCCTGAAAACGAAAGGTGAAGTTCTTACCAGCCCATCGCTTTGATTTATACCTACTCAGAAGCTAAAATTTGTTGCTAATCACATTCCGATCGTCAAGTGTTGGCTCATTATCGTGTTCTGCCGGGAGAAATTTATTTGGGACCACGTTTTCAACTGAATTTCACAAGGGAAGCAATCGTGCTTTCATCAGATTGAATCCCGTTGACTTTCAGTGCCAGAACATGTACTGCAGCAGTACACAGACAACAAGAAGTGGATTGAAGGTGCAGCGGAGAATCGCCTCGTGGTCGGAAGTCAAGCTCGAATCCTCTATTCTGACCAAGAAGGGCGGATTGCCCTCGCTTTGGCATTCAACGACGCTGTCCGAAGCGGAAGAGTGTCTGTGAGTGGACGAGAGAAATTTGTGAAATTTTCATTTATAAGCGCTATGGCCCGCCTCGTTAATAATACAAATTGACCAAAAACTTTGTGCGTCAATATTTTTCTTACATTGTTCATAAGTAGGACGAGATCTCTGAGTTGCGAAAGCCGCTTTATACAATAGTTCCCCGTATTTCCAGATTTTTCAAAAATCAATATGAAAATATGAAAATGAGCATTTTATAAATTCTGAGCGAGAAAGAGCAGAAGGTGGTTGGCATTGATACTTTGCCAAAGGGGACGAAATTCGCTCCTACTTCGATCAAACACCGTGGAGTAAGATGAATACGGTCGAGGAAATCCTCGACCATGGCTCTGTACTGTGGGAGAATAATGGCAAGAGTGAACGTCCGCGAGGGAGAGCGTGACTGAACAGGCGAATCTCGACGAATTCTCGACTGATTTTCACCCTGCCGTAGAATCTGCGGCCACACACTCCTATGTTTGAATTGAGAATTTTCACTTGTGCTTGCTGTAAAACGGTCCTCTGTACAACATAGTTGTCCCGGAGCAGGCTTTACGGGCAAAGAAGCTGTCCCTCAAAGGTGACGATTTCATTTCTCATCCTCCTCATCATTCATCTTCAGAATGACACAGCCAGCTAGTGGATTATCGCGGAGACTTATGCATTCGTTTTGATTGAATACAGCGTTTCTGTTCCCATAACCTAACCTCTTCGTAGCGAATACTTAGCTAGGGACGAGGTGCACAAAAGCTCACCATTTTTGGGAGGGAGTCAGGTACCAAGGAGGAATGATCATCGATGAGGGGAAATGCATCCTTTTTCTTTTTCAGAAACGTCGTTACATGAAACGTGCGCTATTTCCTTTCCGCAGGGTGAATTGCTTGAGGATTCCTCAACGGCACGTCGAGGATTTTTCGCCTGATCCTTTACGTTCTCGCGCGCGGATATTCACTCTCGCCACCCGCGAGCCGTCTGTGCTCTCCGCGCGTACATTCACTATCGGCTCTACTCTCGCACAGCAGAGAGCGATGGTCGAGGAATTCCTCGACCGTTATTCACCCTGGCCTTCCTTAGGGATATAGCACTCGCAAAGCGACCTTTGATGAAATCAAACTCCTATCTGCAGGCACCAATCGTCATAGCAAGGGACCATCATGATGGTGTCAGGAAACTGACTCGCGTATTCGCGAAACATCGCGACTCAGCGACGGTGTGCATTTCGGCGAATGGCCTTGTTCAAGAATTTCATGAGTACGAATTTCATGGCATCTCATCGCAGTTATAAGAGCTGAGTTATGGGCAGATCTCGGCCCGGTGGATTCGTAACGTGGCATTTCACTTGCTTGCCGGGCAATTGTGCTCATTACCAAACGGGGCATCCATTTCCCCCATTCAGGTTTGTTTATGGTATATTTAAGACTCGGGTTCGAGTTCTGCTGTGGCAATGTTTCCCCATACCTCATACTGCATTCTTATGAAACTTTCGGCATTGTCAAAACAACAGTTCATAAACAAAGTCTGGGGTCTCATCCAGTAAGGGGGGGGGGGCATAGCGATCTAGAGCATTTCAAACCATGGAAAGCACATTATTTTATTGTAGACGTTCAGGACTAAGCCCTAGAAGGGAAGGAGTCCCCGGATCCGTGAGCAATCTTGGCTTTCCCCGGGGGACTTCCTCCCCCTCCTGGGCTTAGTCCTGACCTGCTAACTAGGTGAATTTCACTTCTCGTAGACGTTAATGTCATCTAGTACAAGAATACATACATTACACAAAACACCTGAAGAAATAACATAGGAAAAAAGCTGATAGCAGCTCGTAACTTTAAAGGACTCCTTGAGCCAAATTGGCATTAGAGCAGACCGTGCACCGCAATGCCCCCTCTTACCGGATGAGACCCATCTGAATCATTTTTTTTCACAAATGTAGCTATATGTCGTGGTTCAGGTGACTCATTCCGCGGCGCCACATGGGTGTCATTGCACAACGGAGGCGGAGTCGGATGGGGTGACGTGATCAACGGAGGCTTCGGATTACTTCTCGACGGAACCGAGGTGCCGATCACATCAGCTTAAATTAGGCTAACACAGCAAATGCAATTTTCAGTAGGGATGCTTGGGACAGATCATGATTGAGGAGTTTTGCATTCCCCTATTTCTCAAGATTGATGGTGGTTTTGAGCCAGCGTATTTGACTTCGATAATTACAGTGACACCTGAATATGGCCAAAATTCACCGCAGATCTAGATTATTTAGATTTATTGCATGCGCATTAAGCACATGGATTTAATAACACAGAACAATGAAAAAAAAAACATTGAGTAACATCAACACAACAACCATGAACATTGTACAATGGAAATGATAAGAAAAAATGGCCAATTGAGAAAGTGAGAAAGCAAGAAAGTGAACAGCCCCAAGAATAGATATGGCCTGATAAAATTGTAGAAAAAGATATTGATTGCCCTAAGCATAGTACTTGTGCATAAATGACTTCAGCTGAGCTGTGCTTAAGCTAGAAACTATTAGGAAGAAGCTAGACTATTGAAATAAATTACCAAATTGTATTCGTTTTTGCAGGAAGGAAGAGACGAGCGACGTCAATGCTTCAGTGGGACGTCTCTAATGGAGTGGCTCGGCGTAGTTGGTCAGGAAACCGAAAGGCGCGTGCAGCTATTCAGAGAACCCAAACGCTGGTGAGACACAGAAGCTCCATTTATTGCTAGGTGACATCGACGAGCCGGAATCGAGCGCTGTCTTGCAGAAACCCGTTTGCAGAAGGCATTTTAGAAGGATGAGTACACACGCAATAAGTGCCAGAAATTAGACCGTTGCAATCGACAGAAACAATCTCACTAGGCCGTGCCGATAATTTCGCACTAGAACATCTTTGGAATGGTGAACCTACTGAAATTGGAGGTACAGAGGAACTATTCCGTGCCTGATGTGGTTGGTTGTATCTGAAAATGAAGGAAGATGTGATGTTTGAGCTTTTTAGTATCTGGAAAAGCTTGAAGAATTTGCTTAAAAATACTAGAAAGCCATGCGCATGATTCGTTGGCGGAGTTGGCTCACCGTGTTTCTGTAATACTTTACAGGAGATGAGGCGCTTGCAGTTGCTTAGAGGTGGTGTCATTTTGTGGACTGGTTTTCAGCGAACCTATTTGGATTCGCCTGTTTACCGCTATCTGCCCTTTTTAAACGTTTTACCGTGCCAAGATTGGAACCACGAAAACTGCATATCGAGTATGAAAGAAAGGCACACTTTATTTCGCTACACTTTTGGTTTTTTTTTTTTTATTTTTATAAATTACATCTTTTGGCTAAGATCAACAAAAATTCATCCAATTCTTTAACAAGCAGTCCATATCGAGAAAAACAGATATCAGTTAGTTGTAGTATGGAAGGGCGGACACCTCCCCTATTCGATCAGATGCTGACGCGTTTTGGAGGAGGTGGATATGTTCGACTTTTTTGAGTTGTCTCATCACTTATGTTACCTTCAGGAAAATGCGGTGCGCTACGAAACCCTGTTTTGCTTTAAAATGGTGCGTATATAAAGTAGGCAGGTGCTGACTGATCTTTAGAGGACGGATTTATTACGGTTCAAGGCACCTTGAAATTTAAGTTAGAGAGGTCAGTGATACACGGAAGAAAAAACCGTGAAAATGGACTACAACCTGAGAAATGGAACCCATTCCTTGTCCGTTGCTTTGCGCGATTGATGGAGTCATTGTTATGCCATCTTCAAGGTTAAGTCTCTCTGCTTAAACGGCTACAGACTCACAATCAGACAAGAGACGACTCGAGAGGGGGCGTACCACGCCAATGCGCGCCAATTGCGCCGCGGGGAAGGCCATGCTAGATCGCTAGGGGCACACCCTTGGATGCGAATTGCATGTCGGTCTGCACCCTTGGGAAGTCCACCTGTCTCTTCACTACGGTGATTGTTCCGTTCTCGCCTTTGGTGTGCTTTATGTGTAAGTCTCCTTTAATGGGTGAACACTTCAGTTTTAGGCTGAGGTCATCATTACCATTGCAACATATACGCTGCTAATAAGAGCTATTAAGCTATATATTAGCGGAATTTTTTTTATGCCGAGTAAGCAACACGAAAGCTACTTGACAGAGTGCGGTTTCAGCAATGAAGCAGGCTAGTTCGAAGCAAATCGCCCAGAAATGTGCACATATCTGGAGGCGTTGTTCATGAAAGGGGAGGGAAGAGGATAAGATATACCATACTGCATGTGGAAATGGAGATCGTACACCCCGTCTCCACATTATACATCTAGTCAACAGAACCGGAGAAGGAATTTTCGGTTTGAGAAGTCTTAGTCTTGGTTTTTAGCGGATCATAGTCGCGTGGAGTTATCGGCGTCATGAGGGAAAGCATGGTTCGCTCAAGTTCTCGTGAGTCAGAAAACGTTTTACGGTCATAGGTCGTAAGAAGAAATAGTGCAAGCAAGGAATCAGACACAAGCGAAGCCGAGGAAATGGCCAATTGGCTCTTCTCAAACGAGGAGCAGAAGTGTAAGGTCCGAACAGCAGAGGCGCCCCCATTCAGATCAAAATGCGCTGTTCACCGTTTAGTTTGTATCCTAATGAATTGGAGGATGGCAAGATGGTTTGTGGATGCCCGATCCCATCAATCTCTACAGAAGCCAGAAAACTATCCTAAATTAAATACCTCCAGCAATTTAATTTCTCTATCCATTGCCGCCGTTGCAAGCGGCCCGACCTGACCTATAAAAGCGCGAGGGCCACAGCAAGGATCGTGAATTGCACCATGCGTTTCTCGACGCCCGTTTTCTTTCTTCTCTGAACTAGTTAATGCCCGATTTCAAAACAACACCTCTGCTACTACAAAGATCCTCCTGGAACTAGAAACTTATGAACTTCCATAAGTCCTCTCCTTGCTGGGAAAACAGAGAGAGCGAATGTGCGACTTATAAGGGTCGAAGTAGCGTTCGGCCATTTCGAAAACTTCAGAGCGATCCTTTGCAGCAGTCTCGATGCGAATATCTCGATGCGACCCACCATAGACCTGACAAGGGTCCCTGACGAGAACGACCCCCATCACATCCTCCACCCCTCCCCTTTCCCCACCATGGCTGTTTCCGCTGTAGAAATGAACATTTCCCAAGAAACGGCAAATATTCTAAATTAGTCCACTTCATACCTAATTTTGCAGTTTTTTCGAATTCCAAAGTTAGCAAACGCCCGTCAAGAACGACCCTCTCGTTTGAAGTCTGATACCCTTTTATTTCCGGACACACCACCCTTTTTATTTTACCTTGTCAACATAATTAGCTCCCGTCGGACTTGTGGCCGGAAGGGGCGGTGACCCCATGCAGGTTTTCACAAACCGGTCGAAGGTCAGCGCGGTCACCAAACCGTGCAGTCAAGCACGCCAGTTGTCTAAGTCTAAAAGGGGTGGTAAGAAGTTTTGCTGGCTCAAGGAGGCACTGCCAATCAGATACTAGTCTGCGGCCTTAAAGCTCATTTATGGTTGAACTGTACTGCATCTGATGACATTCTAAACCGTTTTTTGGTGCAGAATTGAGAAGCTATGCGTACAATATCCTAATGATTTGCCGGAGACTCTTTCTTACGATCAATTTTCTAGTCGTCAACACTCCAATACTTATTTATTTTCACTAAGCAATTATTAATCATTTATCTTGAATAAAGTGATAAGAATTGTAAATCCTTACAGTGCAAATTTAACAATCTGAACCTTACAAAATAGCCAATCGATACGACGAACAAAGCCAATACATGAGGCCAGATGTTTCCGGTAGGTGTAAATACCGTCACGAGAATTAGGCGCACGAATGACCACATTCAAGATCAGAAAATGGAGAAGGGAAAATCGATAGCTAGGGCCGGCAGCACCTCGGCAGATCGCAGGGGAGAAGAGAAAGGTGAAGACAGCTACACGGGATTTAGTAGAACGATGGCTCTGCCTCGTATAACAAGAAAACGTCGTGATCAGTGATGCGTGGACAAGAGAATAAGCAAAGCGAACTTGAACACAATGTTCTACAGTAGGATACACTTGCTCTTCTTCTTCTTTTTCTGCTGAAGTGCTGCCTGCGTTGCCTTTTCGAAAACTTCGCGGATTCCCTGCAAAAACGTAATTAAAATTGGAAACCTTAATTTAGACCAACGAAACAACGGATAACTTGTCATGAAAAACACAACTCACATCCTTAGTTTTCGCTGAGCACTCTAGATATGCAAAAGCTCCAATCTGCTCGGCTATCGCACGCCCTTGTTCAGGTCTAACGGGTTCCTATAAACCAGCTTAATTATGAAACGGAAATAATAACTCTAGTCGAAAGAAATAAAATATCAACAAGACAACTGGGAAAGTGTGATTTTCCATACATTGTGTAAAATGTGGAAATGACAGCATTGTTGAAAGCATTCACTAGCACTGATTAAATTCCATTCATACGTGCACCAGCAAGCGAGCTTGCAAAAGCAGAAAATCGAAGTGAAAAAATACGTGGGAACAGCGGAACTGTGTACCAAATTAGAAACTTGCTCTATCTTTGGTATTATCTGAACCTAATGATGAGAGCTACCCTAATATGCGTGCAGCAACATGCTTCTCAACCCGGAGGGTGAAATTTTATGTAACTTCATCAGGTAGGTAAGATTTAATGTAACTTCATCGGCTACCCAAGTAAAGTTTCAAGAAGAGATCGAGCTAGACATCGAAACAAGCGAAAACGTAAAAAAGAGTACTAATAAGAAGATAAAGTTCCCTTCTTGCACCCACTTCGAAAACCATGCATTCATTCTGCTTACACTTAGAATGGGAGCAATATGACCATTTACTCATTTGCTTTCAACATGACCACCTCCAAACCATCTATGGCCGATGTCATACTTTGCGAATCGCTCGATTCGGTTTGGAGGCGACAGTGTAACAAACCATATCTT